AAGGCTCAGCGCACCCAGGCCCGGCAGCTCCAACCCCGCTAGCACCGCCAGCTCCAGCAGCTCCAGTCTCAGTGCTCCCAGAACAACCAGCCCCGGCAGCTCCAGTACCTCCAGTACGAGCACCTCCAGGACGAGCAGCTCCAGAACCTCCAACTCCAGCAGGGCCACGAGGACGGCGAAAGCGCCGGACGTACCAGTCACGAAGCTGCTGCTGTGTGAGAGACGGCTCAGCACCCCGAACCGGAGCACCCCTAGACGCAGCAACCCCAGGCTCCGCAGGCTCAGTCGCAGCACCCCCAGGCTCAGTACCCTCAGGCGCAGCACCCCCAGGCTCAGTACCCCCAGACTCCGCACCCCCAGGCTCAGTACCCCCAGACTCCGTACACGCAGGCTCAGCACCCCCAGTCGCAGCACCCCCAGGCTCAGCACCCCCAGGCTCCGTACTCTCAGGCACCGTACCCTCAGCTCCAGCACCCTCAGTCCCAGCACCCGCAGCCCCAGCACCCCCAGGCCCAGCACCCCCAGGCTCAGCACCCCCAGGCTCAGCACTCCCAGCAGCACCACCCGCAGCAGCACCTGAGTCACCTGTGACCTCGACAGGCTCAGCGACGGGAGGAGGGTCTACCTGAGAGACACCTGAAGGAGCAGGACCCTGAGGGGGAAGGGGGTCTACCGGAGGGGGACCAGGAGCGAGGAAAAGCGGCGGGGGAGGGAGAGGGGCAGTGCGGTAGGGGAAGAGACGGTAGAAAGGGACCGACTCGTCAAAGGTGACGTCCTGAGAGGCGAAGACCCGGCGCGAGGTGGGGTGGTAAAACTGCCAGCCAGGCGCGTCAGGGACAAAGCCAAGGAAGACACAGGGGACAGCGCGGGCGGAGAGCTTGTCCGCGGTGGTATCGCGGACAAAAGCTCGAGATCCCCAGATCCGGAAACGCGACGCATCGCCAACCTCCCCCGTCCACAGCAGTGTGGGCGAGGTCTCCGGCAAGGAGACACGGGGCCAGAGGTTGAGCTGATGCGCGGCGTACCGGACCGCAAACGGCCACAGAAAATGGGGGGCAGCCGCATGGACCATGGAGGTACGAGCGACCTCCATGACCAAGCCAATGCGGCGCTCAGCAATCCCATTCTGCTGCGGAGAGGCCGGAAGCGTGAACGACTGGGTGATGCCGCGCTCCGCACAGTAGGCTGCCAAGAGGTCGGAGGAAAACTCACCACCTCTGTCAGAGTGCAGACGCAGGACGGGAAACTCTGTCCCGAACCGCCGGCGGAGCTGGAGACGAGCAGCGCGGATCCAGGGGATCAAAACAGTAGGGACCTCACCCTTGGTGCGCAAGGGGAAGACCGTGGTGTAACGCGTGTAGTCATCGACGACCAGCAGGAAGTACCGCTCGTGGTCCTGTCCACGGACGCGGGCTGGGCCCCACACGTCCAGGTGGAGAGTCTGCAAGGGAGCCTCTGTGGGAGGGAACGAGGAGGAGTGAGGAGCGGCGCGCTGCCGCCCCTCGACACAGGGAAGACAGGGAGGAGCAGGCGAGGGTGGGAGGGGAGGGAGAACTCTGGGAAGACCAGAGACAAGGACACGACGGTGCATGCTGCGAAGGCGCTGCACCGAGGGGTGACCAAGGCGGTGGTGCCAAAGAAGGGTCTCGTGCGACAAGGCGCGACACAAGCAGGGGGCCGACAGCTGACCTGACGCAGACGCAGACGCAGCTACCTGAGGGGACTCAGTGGTCAGGGTGTACAGGCTCGAGCCAGGCGCACGGGTGAAAGTGGCCAGGTGTCGGCCCGTCCGAGCACACGTACAGTGAGTCACCCGCTGACGCGCAGGAGTGAACTGGTCAACCCCCCCATCCTGGAGGTCAGCTCCACTCACCAGGTTCGTAGAGAACGAGGGGAGGTAGAGACCTGACAGCAAGCCAGACGGGGCGGCCGGACACGGCAGAACCGTGGAGTAGTGGGCAAGGACTGGACCCCCAGAGGGGTCGGCCAGGGAGACTGCAACCGGCCGACGAAGCGGCGTAAGTGTGGTGCAGTCGCGAAAGAAGGAGCGGGAAGCTCCTGAGTCAAGGGTGAAGGTGTGCAGGGTCGCAGCAGGCGAAGAACCAGAGAGGGCAGACTCACCAGGACCTGGAGCAGCAGCCTCACCAGCACCTAGAGCTGGAGACGCAGTAGCACCTAGAGCAGCAGCCTCACCAGCACCTAGAGCAGGAGACGCAGGAGCACCTAGAGCAGCAGCCTCACCAGTACCTAGAGCAGCAGGCGCGATACCTGGGTCAGGCGGCGCACACAGGTAACAGGCACGGTCAGCACTAGTAGGCAATGCATACATGGCAGTGAGAATAGCATCATAGTCAAGAGCAAATATATCTACTCTCTGCCTAAGTAGCTCCACCCAGTCGGGGAGCTCAGCTCCGTCGCCAAACTCGGTGCGCCAGGCGTCGCTCAGACGGGCGAAGCAGCGGGACTGCGTGTGACTAGGTGTCCCGCAAGGCTGACCAGTCCGAGCACCAGTGCGAATGACGTAAGAGCAGCGAACAGAACTGAGAGACCCTCTACTCTGAGCGTACCACTCACGAAGCTGCTGGGGCGTGCGAGACTCGCGTGGACGACAGTGTAGCTGCATCTGGCCACCGCCAGTAGCAGCAGCAGCAGTAGTGGCAGCAGTAGCAGCGCGGCCACCCCTACAACCCCAACTAGCGGACCACCCACGCAGCTGCTGGGGCGTGAGGGACTCACGCGGACGTCGCTGGGGCTGCATCTGGCGTCGGCCAGTAGCAGCAGGTCAGGCAGGCAGGCAGGCCGGCGGCGCGGCAGCGCGCTAGCAAGGCAGGGGCTCACCAGTAGCAGGAAGAGCAGGCTCTCACCGGGCGAGCAGGGCCGGTGCTCGGCGGACGGCGGCAGGGTCAGCGTACGACGGCGGCGACAGCAGGGCCGTGGCAGCGGCTACAGTGAAGGGCCGGATCGAGTCAGCGGCAGGGCAGGGCCGGGTCGTGGCGGCGGTAGGGTGGCGCGAGCCGCTGCCGGGGGCCGTGCACTGGCGGGTAGGGCGCGGCGCGGGCCGCGTGGACGGCGCGCAGCGCGCTGCGGGCCGCGGACGCGCCGCGCGGGCTTGGGGCGAGCTGCACGGGGCAGCGGCGGGCCGCGCGCGCGTCGCGCGGGCTCGGGACGGGCTGCGCGGGGCAGCTGCGGGCCGCGCGCGCGTCGAGCGTGCTCGGGACGGGCTGCGCGGCAGGCAGCGCGACGGCGGGCAGCGCGGCAGGCAGTGCGACGGGCGGGCAGCGCGGCGGGCAGCGCGGCGGGCGGGCAGCGCGGCGTGTAGCACGACGGGCGGGCAGCGCGGCGAGCGGGCAGCGCAGCGGGCGGGCAGCGCGGCGTGCAGCGCGACGGGCGGGCAGCGCGGCGAGCGGGCAGCGCAGCGGGCTGCGCGACTGGCGAGAGACGCGGCAGGCAGCGCGACGGCGGGCAGCGCGGCGGGCAGCGCGGCGGGCAGCGCGACGGGCGGGCAGCGCGGGCGCACGAGGGCGCTAACGAGGGGCGCACGAGGGCGCTAACTTGGGGCGCGCGAGGGCGCAGCGAAGGCGCGCGAGGGCGCTAACGAGGGCGCACGAGGGCGCAGCTAGGCTAGGGCACGGGGTAGCGTGGTAACCGCATGCGAGCGGTGGTGGGCCCTAAAAAAAACGGTCGGTAGGTCCTAGGGACCTCCTGCTCTGAATACCATGTCAACAAGACTAGGCAAGAATGGTGCATTGAATGAAACAGTTGGGTACAAGTAGCAAACCCTAGTTGGGGTTGTACCCCATATTGGCTACCCCACTACAGCCTACCAACATGTAAGACATTACAATTTAACACGTGCATGGTGTGAGCATCAGCTGTACAGTACCATTTCTTGGGTCGGAGGATCAGTGAACAATTTCGCCGAATATATCTCGAGTCCGCCCGGGGGAGCTCGCTGCCCGCGGGCAAAAAAAATAAACCCCAGACGGGCATGCATCCGGTCAGGGAGCCTCAACCCTAAACGCGGGGAGGCATGGTGTTTAGGGTTGAGGCTCAAACCATTCCCGTTTCCGTTTCAAACCATTCTCCGGTTACCTGCGAATTTGAAGGTGCAGCAGAAAGACGAACATCACGATTCCGCGAGGATCACCCACGTGCCTTGTTGGCCCCGAAATGGGTGTGCTGTGGTGGCTGGATATGGTAGCGTACCGTATCCGTTTGTGCGTGTGATGCGAATACAACACTCATCAATGTAGATTTCCATTTTCAGGGAGCCCGATTTATAGAATTGAAAATCAAGCTGCACAAGGCTGAGTACACACACATGGAAGGAGCGCTAGGGTACCTATTCCAAAGCACATTAACTGCCCATTCAAAATCACAGCCAGTTTTCATACATGCTCTCCGATTTCCTAACGTCTAACCCGCCACATCAATTTCGCCATTTGACTGATCCTACTACTCGTCATCATCACTTTCCCCCCAGCCTGCATCACCCATCTCATAGTCACTATCCAAGGCATATTCATGCTCAATATCATCATCCTCACCACCACTCTCCTCCTCCGATGCCTCCCCGCCCGCCTCTTCCCTTTCCACGACCACATCGCCTCCCTCCTCCCCCTCTTCCTCTTCCGCATCCCCTTCCTCCCCTTCCTCCTCCCCTTCCTCCTCCTCTCGCTCCTCCCCCTCCTCTTCCTCCTCCGTTCTCCTTGCAGGAAGCCCTCTTGTATCTCGCCTGGGAAGCAACGGGCATTCACTGATGTTGCACTCCCGCAACGACGGCATATTTCGAAGAGAAGACGGCAGCCGAGTCAACCTCTTGCACGCACACACCTCCAGATCCTCAAGACTAGGCAGCTGCGTAAATGAATCCGGCAAGCTTCGCAACTGCTTCAATCCCAGAATCAGCAACTTCTGGAGGGAAGACAGATTCCAAATATTATCAGGAATGGTTGAGATTCCGGGCTTGATAAGAGAGCAGGATCGCAGCTTGGGTAGATTCACAAACGAATCCGGAAGCAATCAATAATCTCCAGCATCTCGAGCATTTTCAGCTGCCCGAGAGACTCGGGCAGCTGTCGCATTGTCGTGAGGTAAACCAGCTGCAAGACACGCAACCCTGCCAGCCCTCCAAGGGTCTCGGGCAGTGCTTTCATAATAGAAGCAGAATCAACCTTAAGCCTTTGCAGCTGAGAGAGTTGGGAGATGGAATCAGGGAAAGACTCAAGCCTGTCCATTTCAAGAAGCTTCAGCTGGGTCAGAGAGGATAGACGGCCAAGGGACGGGCCAAAGGACTCAACATTGAGCTCCTTTAACTTGAGGCTCTGAATGGAAGGAAGCAGAGGGCGACTGCTGCTGCGGCTGCTGCTGCCGGTGCTGGTCACAAAACCCCTAGCAGTTCGTCTAAGCACCTTCTCATCGCCTAGCACCGCACTTAACCTATCACACCCCCGCAAGTCCAGCGCCCGCAGACAAGGCACGTCAAGAAGCGACGGAGGGAGACATATCAGGCCGTCCATCCCAAAGATCCTGACCTCCTCGAGCGCCTCCAGCCGTCCGATTCCCTCTGGCAAGACCGCTACCTTAGGGCAGTTTCCCACTTCCAGGCTGGTGAGGGAATCAACGTCCGAGAAGGAGGCAGGAAGGGCGGATAGGCGTGGCATAGTATCAAGCGACAGCTCCTTAAGGCTCTTCAAGCAGCCAAAGCCGTCTAGCAGCGCGCCCCTGAAGCATTTCGCGCTTCGGATCCGGAGGGTTTCGAGCGACGTCAGGCAGGAGAAGGACGGAGGGAGGTGGGTGAGAGCGGTGCAGTCCAGTAGAAGCAGATGGCGCAAGGACTGCAGACCCTTCCCCATGTCGTCTGGCAACACCATGAGGCGCGGACAGTAGCTAAACTCCAGGTACTCGAGAGAAGATAGCTGGGATAGGGACGCCGGGAGCTGTTGCAGCTGCCCACACTCCAAAAAATTCACCTCTCGAAGAGCTGCCAGCTGTCCAAAGGATTCAGGCAGACGGGTGAGGCGCGGAACGCGCTTCAGGCAGAGCGTCTCCAAAGAAACCAGCTGCCCGAACTCCTGGGGCAGATGTGTCAGATTCAGAACATCAGTGAGGGAGAGCTCTTTCAGTGTGGTAACCAGAGCGATGGAATCAGGTAAGGCTGTGAGACTCCTCAGGTTCAGCACGAGCGTGCGAAGCACTGACAGCTGCCCGAAATCTTCGGGCAGCACTGAAAGTTGTCCCATGTCAAGGGTGAGATCGGTTAGTGTAGGCAGGCGGGGAAGAGACCCGGGCAGCGACGTGATATCACTGCAGTCCTTGATAATCAGGGTCTTCACTCGCTGCAAATGCTCCAGAGCCCCAATCAAGCTGCGCATTCCCGTGACTTCAACGAGAATGATGGAGTCGAGAACCCCCAATTTACTGAAATCAACCCGCGATGTAGGAGGGATCCTGCAATGTCGTACCTCCAGGACGGCGAGAGAAGAAAGCTTGCTAAAAGAAGTCGGCAGCTACAACGTCGGGCAGTGACTTAAGGAATATCGGTTCAGAGCGGTAAGCTGCCCGAAAGATTCCGGAAGGGACCCCACGCGGCAATTGTGCAGCTGCAGAGACGTTAACGAACTCAGATTGCCGAAAGCCCGAGGCAAAGCTTCAAGCCTATAAGCGTTCAGCACGAGGCTTCTGAGAGACCGTAACGAGGTAAAAGTGTCGGGGGAAGACGCGTAAAGCCGCCTCTGAGGGTTAAGTTCCTGAGCCGTGCGAATCGGTCGATGCACAGGGGAATGGAACCAAGCTCCGAACAACACAGATCGAGATCTTGCAGCTGCGTACACCCCTCGAACAGCATTCGGAGGCTCTTCTCAGATAGTGATCCACGTGGCATCGGTTCGACGCGAAGCTCGGTCAGATGCGGACACGTGTTGGCAAGGCGAGAGAAGAAAAAGCTAGAGGCGGAAGTGAGGCTGTTTGAGGATAGAATGAGCTTTCTTAGGTTCGTGAACAGCGATAGAAGTTGAAGGAGCCGACGCGGGTCCATACGAAGGTTACTGGCGAAGTGAAGCTCGTATTGCACGCTGTAAGCGAGCCGATGCCATTGCTTGGAGACAAGTGCGTGCCCCAGCTTGCCATCAGGTCGAACCAGGAAAAAAAGGATCCGAGAAAGAACATCTTCGGGTAACCGCTAGATAGACGATTCGACTGACATTGTGAGAGGAGAAAACAAAACAATTGAGACCGTTCACCTCGTCTGCTACTTATTAGGTATCTGACTCCTAATCGTCTACCAAGCTATCAGTCACGAGACAAAAGTGAAACAATCGCGATTCACAAGAGAGGCAAGCCGGTAGGGTTCTGTCAGCGGGAGGCCTTGGGCTTGCCAGTGGCATGGCACCGTGTTCAACCGCTCAGTTTCTCTGGAACCGTTCCCGCCAAAATCTCCACGAAACACCACATTTGCGAAAACGACGGCGAGGGAGACTTTTGCTCAAATCCGCGGAAGCGCGGTTTGTTTTAATTTTGCCACGTGGCGAGCCTATGATCGCGTAAACCGCGATTTGTTTTATTGTTCCCACAAATTTCAAGAGAAATTTAGTTAAGCATATTGGATAACATATACTGCGCTGCCCGCGGGCAAAAATAAAACCCATATAGGTGAGGCATGCGTCAGGGGTGCATCAACCTAAACGCCTAGAGGCAAGGTGTTTAGGGTTGATGCCTCCTTAACGCATGCCAGGCCCGAATGGGTTTTATTTTTGCCCACGGGCAGCGCAGTACAGAACTTCTAAATTTCTCATTTGTGAAGTTTGTGATAACAATAAAACAGATCGCGGTTCACGCGATCGAAGGCATGCCACGTGGCGATAATAAAACGAACCGCGATTCCGCGAATTTGAGCAAAACTCTCACGGCGAGGCGTCCTTCGCGATCCTCAAACGCGTATGCGATGGTGACTGTATGTGGTTTGTCAGCACTGTTCGCCAAGAGAGTGATGGCAACGAAACAATTTATATCCTAGAGATAACATGAAATGTTAAATTGTAATGTGTTATATGTTGGTAGGCTGTAGTGGGGTAGCCAATATGGGGTACAACCCCAACTAGGGTTTGCTACTTGTACCCAACTGTTTCATTCAATGCATCATTCTTGCCTAGTCCTGTTGACATGGTATTCAGAGCAGGAGGTCCCTAGGACCTACCGACCGTTTTTTTAGGGCCCACCACCGCTCGCATGCGGTTACCACGCTACCCCGTGCCCTAGCCTCGTAGCGCCCTCGTGCGCCCTCGTTAGCGCCCTCGCGCGCCCTCGTTAGCGCCCTCGCGCGCCCTCGTTAGCGCCCTCGCGCGCCTCTCGTTAGCGCCCTCGTTAGCGCCCCTCGTTAGCGCCCTCGCCCGCCGCGCTGCTCGTCGCGCCGCCCGTAGCGCTGCCCGTCGCGCCGCGCGTCGCCAGCCGCGCTGCCCGTCGCGCTGCCAGTCCCGCCGGCCGCGCCACCCGCCGCGCTGCCCGCCAGTAGCGCCGCCCATCCGCCGCGCTACCCGCTCGCGCTGCCCGCCCGCCTGCCGCGCTGCCCGCTTGCAGCACCGCCTGCCCGTCCGCCGCGCTGCCCGCTCGCAGCGTCGCCCGCCCGCCGCGCTGCCCGCTTGCAGCGCCGCCTGCCCGCCGCGCTGCCCGCTTCGCCGCCCGTCCGCTGCGCCGCCCGCTCACAGCGTCGCCCGCCCGTCGCGCTGCCCCTTTGCAGCGCCGCCTGCCCGCCGCGCTACCTGCCACGCTGCCCGCTCAGAGCGCCGCCCGCCCGCCGCGCTCCCCACCGAGCTACCCGCTTGCAGCGCCGCCTGCCCGTACCGCCAGCCTCGCCTGCTGCGTCTGCCCTGGTCGCTGAGCTTGTCGACTTTGCTGCTGCCTGTCGTCTAGACTACGCCGCCAGTCTTGTTGCTGAGCCTGAGTCTGTCTGTCCTCCGTCCGTCGGGGGTGAGTGTGCTCTTGGCACGGACGTCCTTGAGGACAGGCAGGAGGACTTTGACTCTCTTGCGGCTGCTGTACCTCATCTCGTGGCCTGGTTGCTTGCCCCTGAGGGAGACCCGGATGCACTAGACATCCCCACTCCGCGCTCTTACGCAGAGGCGATCTCGGGTCCCTACTCCTCTCAGTGGCAGACAGCCATGGACGCAGAGATGGCATCCTGGAAATCCACAGGCACCTACGTCGACGAGGTTCCCCCTCCTGGGGCGAACATCGTCGATGGCATGTGGATTTTCAGGGTGAAGCGGCCGCCAGGTTCTCCACCTGTCTTCAAGGCTCGTTACGTTGCTAGAGGCTTCAGACAGCGTCAAGGGGTTGACTTCTTCCAGACCTTTTCCCCCACCCCGAAGATGACCACTCTTCGGGTGTTGCTGCACGTTGCTGCTCAACGTGACTACGAGCTTCACTCTCTTGACTTCAGCATAGCTTTCTTGCAGGGCAGCCTCCACGAGGAGATCTGGCTGCGCCGCCCTCCTGGCTTCACTGGGTCGTTCCCTCCTGGTACCCAGTGGAGCCTCCGGCGGCCAGTCTACGGTCTCCGCCAGGCGCCGCGCGAGTGGCACGACACACTGAGGACTACACTTGCGGCCCTTGGGTTTGCTCCTTCCACTGCTGACCCGTCACTGTTCCTGCGCACAGACACGTCGCTGCCGCCGTTCTATATCCTCGTGTACGTCGACGACTTGGTCTTTGCTACTACTGACACTGAGGCACTCGCTCGTGTGAAGTCGGAGCTGCAGAAGAGACACACCTGCACTGACCTGGGTGAGCTGCGTAGCTACCTTGGCTTGCAGATCACCCGGGACAGAGCACGCCGCACCATTACCCTGACTCAGTCACACATGGTGCAGCAGGTCCTTCAGCGCTTCGGCTTCCAGTTCTCCTCACCACAGGCCACACCTCTGGCTACCAGTCACTCGCTCTCAGCTCCACCTTCGGACGAGTCCGTAGAGCCGAGTGGCCCGTACCCAGAGCTTGTAGGCTGCCTCATGTACCTGATGACTTGCACGCGACCTGACCTCGCGTACCCTCTTAGCATCCTTGCTCGTTACGTTGCGCCTGGGAGACACAGGCGAGAGCACTGGGAGGCTGCTAAGAGGGTGCTGCGTTACTTGTGCAGTACATCAGGCATGGGGCTGGTGCTTGGAGGACGCGACAGAGTTGTCCTCACTGGTCACTCGGACGCTTCTTGGGTGGACGACCTGGCTACGCAGCGGTCGTCGCAGGGTTACACCTTCAGCCTTGGCTCTGGTTCTGTCTCGTGGCGGTCCACCCGCTCTTCTTCTGTTCTCAGCTCTAGTTGTGAGGCTGAGATCTACGCCACGGCCATGGCTGCACAGGAGCTACGCTGGCTCACCTACCTGTTGACTGACTTGGGAGAGCGGCCTAGTTCTCCTCCAGTTCTGTACGGCGACAACAAGGCGGCCCTTGCCTTGTGTCAGGAGCACAGACTGGAGCACAGGACGAAGCACATTGCTCTTCGCTACTTTCTTGCTCGAGAGCTGCAGCAGCGCGGTCAGCTTCGGCTTGTGTACGTGGACTCAAAGGCCAACACTGCTGATATCTTCACCAAGGCGCTCCCGCCTAGTGATCATCAGCGGCACTGTACTTCTTTAGGCCTTGTGTCCACATTCCCTCATTTGCTTACTGCTTGACTTTCTTTGTACTGTACTTTATATATATCTTGTTGCTTGCTTGCTAGGTTTTGATCACTGTATTGCTTGTCTTGTTCTATATCTAGCACTGCATGTGAACTGGCCTTGTGGCCTTTGCTTGTGCTCGGAGTGTGGTGACGTTGTGATCCACCCTGGGCTTGCGTTGCTTTGCTGGACTGGTCTTGTGACCCTTTGTTCTCCCCCACTTTGCCTATGGGGGTGTGTTAAATTGTAATGTGTTATATGTTGGTAGGCTGTAGTGGGGTAGCCAATATGGGGTACAACCCCAACTAGGGTTTGCTACTTGTACCCAACTGTTTCATTCAATGCATCATTCTTGCCTAGTCCTGTTGACATGAAATACTGGGAATTTCAGAATGTGAACAGACTACAGTATGTGCTTATGCATGTAGGTGAGAAAGACTCATCTCTTCTAGTCGTGAACCACGATGATAAACAACATTGAACCAACTCCCCTTTTGATGCGAGACTAGCCTACCAATTCCCAATCTCATCTCCCACCCAATACCGTGTCACACCTCCCCATTCGACCATAACAACCTCCTTTCACCTTGTTCCTCGAGTTCTTCGCATTCTTCAGAACTACACTAACAGCGCTGGTGATGCTTCTTCAGCTCTGTACACTTACTACTGTACCACTATGAGAGCTTGGTAAGGTAGCGTGCAATATCAGGGTCGTCTAGAGGAACATCTAGGTCCCCTCGAATGCGGAACAGCTGCTTCACAAAGAGAGGCGGCTCCTCCGCCTTCACTCGACTCAATGCTGCCTCGAACTGTCCTTTTGTACCGAATTTCTCTGAAGAGTGTATGAGAGAGGCAAAGGGGGGTGTGGGCGAAAAGGAATGGAGAACATTTCACAAAGAGAGGTGGCTCCTCCACCTTCGCTCTGCCTAACGCCGTCTCCAGCTGCTCCTTTGTTCTGAATTTCTCTGGAGTCCGGAAGGGAGAGGCAAAGGAGAGTGTGGACAAAAAGGAGTGGAAAGTATTTCACAAGAGAGAAGCGGCACGTCCGCCTTCACGCGACTCGATGCCGACTGCCACTGCTCCTTGCTGCAGAGTTGCTCTGGAGGGGGGGGAGAGGGGAAGGGGGACATGAGGCAACATCAGGAGAGGCGGCTCGTCCGCCTTCACTCGACTCAATGCTGCCTCCAGCTGCTCCTTGCTGCCGAAATTCTCTGGGGAGACGGGACGAGAGGAATTGGAAGGTGGGGGAGGAAAGGATTATGGGGTGGGGAATGAGAGAAAATGGGAGTGAATGGAAGGGAATGAGAGGGAATGAGAGGGAATGAGAGGGAATGAGAGGAAAGGGAATGAAAGGGACTGAGTGGGAATGAGAGGGAAGGGAATGAGTGGGAGTGACAGAGAATGAGAGGGAATGATAGGGAACGGGAGGGAATGGGTGGAAATGAAAGGGAATGAAGGAATAAATCGCTGTACCACTACAAAAACCCCCCAAGGGAAGGAAACGCGGGAATGAAAAGACGGGAGTGTAAGCAAAAAAGGTTGGGTGGTGGGGAAGCATCGAGGAACGCATCTGAACGTGGGGAGGCTAAGATGGTCAAGAGAGAAGGAAGGGGGGAAAGGGAAAAGGAAGAAGGGGGAGCAAAATTCAGAGAGGAATCGGAAGGGAGGATGATGTAAATGATGATCTTTCGAGAAATCTTAGGATACCTTGCACTCGGTCAAGCGCTCTGGCAACGGCAGGGTCAAGGCGAGGCAGCGTGGGAAGCACGCCCGTGGCGAGAACCTCTGGTGTTAGTTCCACTTCCGTGCTGCTGCGCCGTACACCCGATGCCATGCTTCCCCTGCTGGTAGAAAGTAAGAAGGTCGGGAAGAGGGAGGATGAACATAGGCAGCGTGAGAAGCACGCCCGTGGCGAGAACCTCTGGCGTGAGCTCTACCTCTGTGCTGCTGTGCCGTGCACCCGATGCCATGTTTCCGCTACTGATAGATGGGTAGAAGGGGAGGGGAACAGGGAGGATTGAGGGCAGGATTGAGGCAGCGTATCTGTGCTACGTGCCGCCATTTGCCCTTCTGGCGTGAGGGGTTGGAAGGGAGGGGGTGGAAGGGTGGGAAGCACGCCCGTGGCGAGAACCTCTGGCGTCAGCTCCACTTCCGTGACTGTGCTGCGTGCTGCCATGCTACCCCTGCTGGTGGAGGAGAAGGGGTGAGGGAGAGGGAAGGGGGAAAGCGGAGTGGGAAGCACCCCGCTGTGGCTAGAACCTCAGGCGTCAGTCCAACTTCCGTGGCTGTGCTGCGTGCTACCATGCTTTCCCTGCTAGTGGAGGAACGTGAAGAAGGGAAAGGAAGGGCAAGGGAGCGTGGGAAGCACGCCCGTGGCGAGGACCTCAGGCGTCAGCCCAACTTCCGTGCCTGTGCTGTGCGCCGCCATGCTTCCCCTGCTGGTGAGGGAGAGGAGAGGGGAAAGGAAGAGGGAGAATTGAGGCAGTGAGAGAAGCACGCCCGTGGCGAGAACCTCTGCCGTGAGCTCCACTTCCGTGCCTGTGCTGCGTGCTGCCGCGGATGCCATGCCGCTGGGAGGGGAGAGGAGAAGGAGAATGGGGAGGAAAGAGTCCGGGGAGCACAGCCCCATGCAAGTGTAGGGCTCTCGTCAACACCCTTGCAAGACTTTCAAACAATCTAATTCTACCTCATACTCTTGTAAAAGAGAGTCAAACCCTCGTATGGCGCTTCGTTTCGAGCTACTCAGACTAAATAATCGGCTCAACTCTTATGAAAACGCTGCGAGCAATGGCTGAAGGGAGTCGGATGGGAGGTTGTCTAATAGCTGCTCAGCGTTCTGACGCTTTCAACCCACCCGCGCAAGGGAATACCGTAAACTCTAGCTCAACCTAAAAAGATTTTCAGTGAACGGAAAAACCATACGATACAGGAAAACGTTTTCTGTGTACTCCGGTTTCCCGAGAATGGACGGACGCCAATCATATTACGAACAGAGCCTTACCAAAGCTGGTGAATTGTCTACTCGAGACGGAGCAAGGGCCGGGACAGGTTCGCCTCGTACGCCAGAGAATAACTGGGAGTAAGAGCGCGGCGCGAGGGTGAAGGAGGTGGTGGAAGTGGGGATGGTGGGACATGCGAACGCTGTTAGGAAAACACGGTAAGAAATAATCTCTTATGTAAAAGGTTCTGTATGCGATATTTTCCTTGGTGGTTTTATTCATGTCATGGGGGACTATTATTTGGAAGGTAAAAACACCGTGCAGAAATCTGCATGGGGATGTAATGGTTAGTACTATTTCAGGCATAATAAGGTATGCACGAACATGAATACCTACTGATCCAGTCCAGTCTGCAAACCATTAGGAGAATGGATCATTTCACACGCTCCTAATGCAACAATTTATCAATACAAACCTCACTAATCAGAACCAACCTTAGTAAGGCCACCGGCCAAAGCTGTATTAAACCCAAACTGTACTCACATTGCCATCATTGCACTTCCCCCACAAGAGCTGCAGGTTTCCACAAGTCGCAAGAAGCAGATTGGAGTGGTACCATACCACACATAACAGCCCCCTCCTCCCACAAACGCAACCCCTCTGCCCCATCCCCCACCTACCACCCCCCCTTCCCCCCTAGCACAACCAAATCACCATCCTGTGGTTGCTCAGGTCTGCATATGCAACAATCACATCCGCATCAGTCACATCTGCCATAGTCACTCCCCTCCCCGTCCTCATTGCCCGCCAGGCGGGGGGGGCATGCCTGGGCGCGGGGGACCGTACATCCCCGGATGCCCCCCTGGCGGAGGGGGCATGCCCGGCCTTGGCGGACCCATCATCCCTGGCGGAGGCATTCCCCCCGGCGGGGGCATCCCCCGCCCGTACTGCATGGGCGGCGCACCGCCTGGCGGAGGTCCGCGCGGGGGGAATTGCGGAGGCGGGCCGCCAGGGGGAGGTCCGTAACCTGCGGGAGGGGGAGGCATGCCCGGGCGCGGGGGACCCTGCTGGTACATGGACGGGGGCGGACCCATCCCTGGCGGGCGCATTCCGCCTGGCGGCGGCGGCATCCCCGGCCGCGGAGGGGCTCCCCCAGGGAAACCCGCGGGCGGGGGGAACGAGACGGGAGGCGGACGGCCAGCCGCAGCGCCAGCTGCGCCGCCAGGAGCCTGGTATGAGATCGGCGGAGCCGCCACTTGCGGGCGCGGCTGCATCAGCGACGGCGCCGGTCCGCCGACTCCGCGCGCGGGACCCGCCAAACCAGGCTGCGCTTGACCAAGCGGAACCGTCGGAACTCCGCGCCCTGCCGCGCGCCCAACACCGGGTCCCCCTGCCGCTGCGCCGGCGGCTCTCCCGCGGGATTCATCCTGCGGCGGCGGCCCTTCGACGGTAAGACTAACTACCTCCTCACCGCGGAGAATAAGTAGCCCTAATGTCCGGCGCTCCTCGCGGTCTTCTGGCGCCTTGGAGCCCTTTTTGGGCGGCAGCTTGCGGAACTCCTCGCAGTCTCCCAGGACGAGGTTCATGTGGCGATCGTAGGCCATGAATTTCCCGACGAGCTCGCGGCCATCGGTGACGGTGACGCGCATGCGGTAGTTGATGTACTGTAGAAGCTTAGATCCCTTGGACATCGACATGGCGCCTCGATTTTCAGCGCCGTCGACGGGAGGGAAAGAGGACTAATTATCAAAAGGACGACTTCTCAGATCATACTAAGAGTTCTCACGACACGACTGAAGAGGCAAGGGGGGAGTACCAGCGGGATTGACCAGAAGTGAGGCTCGAAGAAAAGTGATGACGAGCTTTAGGGTTGAGCCTCTCTTTAGGGTAGACCTTCGAGATCAGAAGCGGGGACAGACATTTCCTGATCTGACAATGTAACATCTTTGAAGTGTGAGAGAAATTAAAAAAAAAAAAACATATTGCTATCCCCCCACCACAATTCACTGGAAATTTGTACTCCTCTGTGGTGTTTGAGATTTGTTTACCGTAGAAGGATGCGTAAACAGAATAATGACCTCATCATATAATCATGACGGAGTTACATATTCCTGAAATATGTCTCAATAATATTAACATTTACAGGTCTTTCCGGTGTGTATTTTGATGATCTCATGTGGATAAGAGGCCTGCAGTGCATAGCAGGATTGCTGCTTCTCGGCGTATTTGTCCCGGATGTCCTCTTGCCGCGTATGTCAGAAACCCAATGTGGCATGTGGCACAGTGGCCAATGGTGGCGCAAATTTCTGTCAGCGCGACGAGGAATCCCGCACTGACAGGTCGAACAGCCTGCTTTTCCTGATCGAATGGGTTCGTTCGCACGTCCACGTTGCTGGCGACTGTCTGACGACTTTTGAAACCTCGGGGTCGCCGTCGACTTGCGTTTCGCGAAAAGTTGTTCACGTCGCAAATTTTCGAAAACTCTGTGCATCCCTGGCGACTGTCTGACGACATTGGAGGGAAGCCTCGATTGAGCCTTGCGATGCGATGACCATCAAGGTCTTGCGACAAAATCGCTTCGCAGGCAAGCCCATCAGTCCGCCCAGCCCACCTCATCCAACCCATTTGAGGCACCTGCATCTGGTTTCCTAGATTCTACCATCTCCGCTTCTCAAGTCACCAACTAGTTTGTTCACGCATATCATACTATCTCAAGTTATTGTCATTATTTGAAGTCGCCGCTCCATTCTGCTGTCTTAGCTTCTCCGCGGTTTCTTACCCTAGCTGGTCGACAGGGCTATCATCATCATGCCGCAGATCCAGTATTCTGAGAAATATTTCGACGACGTCTACGAGTACAGGTATCCAACTTGTTACCGCTTGCCATCCACCCTAGTGCAGGACAGCAACCAATCTAGCAGTACATGGTCCTGAAACTGAACGTTTCGTTTTGTCGGGTGCCTCTTGCAGGCATGTAGTTCTCCCCCCTGATGTGGCGAAGTTACTTCCGAAGAACAGGCTGCTGTCCGAGGTAATTGATGCTGCTCTCTGACAGAGAATATGGCATGCATGGTCAGAGTTCCAACCTGACAGCTTCTGTGTTGCTGACGTTGACTGTGTGCAGGCTGAATGGAGGAGCATTGGCGTGCAGCAATCTAGAGGATGGGTTCACTACGCTATTCATCGGCCCGAGCCTCACATCATGCTTTTCCGTCGGCCACTAAACTACGGACAGCAGGTTCCGCCGGCGACGCAGCAACTTCAGCAGCAAGTAGGGGCATAAGATAGTACCGCAGCGACCGCATACGGCTGGTGCAGAGGATTTGACCGAACAAGCGTCATCATTCCTCTGTCGCCAAGCATAACCTGTGTCTAGAAAAAAAAACAATTTGTCAATACTCAACGCCTAGTTGCGATTCCTATTTCTTTCAATTATATATTAAGAGGTTCCCACTTAGATGTCCTCCAGGCTTTACGGCACATCTTCCATGCACGGTATATTTAGTACCATGCTGTAAGTTTCCTATCCTTGTGGAGCTCCATGGTGCTCCTATTTTATCAAGGAACTGATTCAGCTGGCAGATTCTTTTAGGCATAACAAATCAGAGTCATCCATTCTCTTGCTGTGGTGGCTGTGACTGTTGAGGTACCTACGTACTGTATCAGGTTATGTCACATTTGTCCAAGTAATCAACCAGGTTCCCCCGTTTCTTGCCGGAATGATAATCCTTCATAATCAAAGAGTGCCATCCTAGAAGACTTTACCATAGATAACCACCATGAGAGTCAAACCTGTGGTGAATGAGTATAGTCTAATTTGTAAGAGTAAAGAGTCAAATTTAGTCAGAAAAAAAAAAGCCTGATGATTGCGAAAAAAAACAGACGGGTGAAACATCTTAACATGTCTACCTACCTATCTTCAAAGGTATCATTTTCTATAACAGGTTGAATACAAAGCCACTCAAAGCAACTGTACAGCAGCAATAGATGGAATTTTCTCCCTGAGCTTCTGAGTAACCGCCACCCTGACTGTCATTACTCCTGCTGCGGGCCCATCAATCCTGACCTTCACAATCGGCGGCTCAATCTTCACAAGAGTCAGCTCCCCACCACCCGTTCCTACCAAGTATGGCCTGATCTCGGACAGCACCTGAAAGCAAAAAGGAAACAATGAGTACAAATCCCTGAACAAGCAACATACCATAAACGATGTATTAGCAATAGAGTATCTTACCTTTTCGACGTTCTCCTCGTCCAGTGGAAGGCCCGTCTCCTGGTCCGTGATCTGCTCAACGGAGACTATCTCCGGAATTTTCTCCATCAACCTCCGTTCGATCCCCATCTTCATAGTCATCGTGGAACTCGGGCACGAGCCACACGCACCCTGAAGCCGCAGCTTCACGACGAGACCGTCAATGTCGTACAATTCCACATTGCCGCCGTCCGCCATCAAGTAAGGTCGAACCTCGTCAAGAACCTTCTCGACGTTCTCCTCAGTCAGCTCCAAGCCCTCGGTAGAAACATCGCCTTGTGACGCGAGAGCAGCAGCTGCAATACATGAAAGCGACGATGTGAAGTTGCTCTGGCGATATAACATTATGAATTTTGTGATAGTTCTATGTGAGCGTACCTGTAGGTTCTCTTCTGGAGAACCTCTGCTCCCCAACAACTTCCGCGCTTCTGAATAGTGGTGCAGCACGAAACTGCACGGAAAAAAACGCTTCCCCGCCATCATAAGCAAATCAAATTGAGAACTACAGCACGATTGGAAATGACGTGACCCACGAGCTAACCCTCACCTGGCGACCTAGTCGTGACGGAGCGGTCGCTGAACTGACTAGTGTCGATGCTTCCCTGACGACGCCACTGAAGGGAGCGAGAGGAAGCGAGATAGTTGCCATGGTTCAACAAAATTCTGCCCAGTCGACCGCCCAATACTAAGCAGGTCCAAGAAAACTAACTAGCTTCGAGCGCGAACAAGAAGGAGACTAAAACTTCTGTGATTGTCCCCGTGTAATCGCTGAACTTGAGCAAGTTGTCTCTGCTTCACGATCAGTGCAGCGGAAGATGACCCTCCGCTCACGCCGTTCGCACCCACACTTCACAGTCGCGAGGACTACGACAAGATGATATTGCTGAGCTTGTGTTACCAGAGAGTGCTGCTTTGTGCTTGAATTGCTGCTGCTGTTAAGTGCACGGCTCCACTGAGTAGTTGCTTGCTTGGGCTTGGGTTGGGGGCCTCTCTGGGCTAGGTCAGGGGTACGAAAGGACGGGGTTGTGGTTGTGCGGGGGAAAGGGGGGTTGGGTGTTTTGGGGGAGGAACCTTTGACCTGCACAAGACTGGTTTCCTGGCTGCCGTTCGATTCAAACATGCTCCAGAAAAGGTCGTTTCAGCTCCAGTGCGTGCATGACACTTGGCACAAGGAGGTGATGTGGCAGTTGTCGGCAGTTCCGTTTGCGAGTGGCTGTGTTCGTGTACGAACCAACACTAAATGAGTGACGTTACAGACTGCAAGGCAAAAATATAGCTAGAGTTAAACAAGGATACAAAAAATAAGGAGCTTTCATCCAACAAAATCTTAGTAGGCTGATTAAACTACAACGCCTAAAAGCACTCAAGCAGTTCCTGCTCCTTTTGAAAGCCTGCGAGATCGTCTGGTTGGAGCCACTTCCCAACCATCGGCCACCTCCTCTTGTGTGAGCAATGGCTCCGGATGAGTTTCTTTAGCAGCTCTACGCGAACCCGAACCAGAAGCTCCCACTCCAGCACCCCTTCCTGGCGCATCTTCATCCATGGCTCCTCCGTTCCCCACTTCTTCCACGTCAGAATCGCTGTCGTCACTGTCTGCATTGCGGTTTGCCTGTGAAAACCACCACACGCACAAGCAGCGGGAAGAAACACAAAGTGATTTAACAAGTAGAAACAAATCAAACACAAATTTAAATTAGTTCTTGTACCATGTAGGACATTCATTTCCTCTTCTCTGCCTGTACAACCATCCAGCCCATATTCACTCACCGCCCTGCTCTGCTGCAGTGCTGCGCGCCTTCCCTTGGCAGCAGCAGCTGCTTCCGCTTCTTGCAATTGCTGCACGAGAGTAAAATTGCCGTCCTTACACGCCTTGAACACTTCAACTACCTTATCCGCCACCTGTGGGAGGAAGGAAGCATGAGGGAGACGAGAAGAGGGTGAAGTGAAGCTGCGGTCGCAACACTACTTGAACACTTCTACCCAAGTTCAAACCGGCCCTCATCCTCTCAGCCGGTGAAGCCACCCAACAAGTCCTCCTCCGCCCTCTCAACCCTCTCAACCGTCCCTCACCCTCTTAACTGTCCCTCCCAACAAGCCCTCCGCCGCCTCCTGTGAATCCCTCACTCACCTCTCGCAGGCTCCCATCCTCCACCTCCATGTTGAAATCCTTCACTGTCGCCTCGTCCAGCCACTCCTCCAGCTCGTCCGAGTACACCGCTCCTGGTACACTCACCACAAAAGAGACACAATGTATGAATATAAAAGAAAATAAAAAGGTAAGCCTTCCAAGAACATCCCATTGTTCAACCTAGTTGCTAGAAGCGGGCGGCTTGGCCATCGCGAATATTCGCTCCCCATAACGGCTTAATACCCCCTTCCCTTTTCTCCCCCCTTCCCCTCAACCCCCGCTACCCTTACCGCGCCTGCTGTGGCGAGAACGGACCAGGTCCGTCGGAAGGTGTTGCGCCTTCTCCGCGCTCCTTCCGCCCAGCCCTTACTTGCCGCGCATACCCTCGTCCCCAGCTTACCGCGCTTGCTGGAGCAGAAATGCACCAAATCCGCCTGTAGGCGCTGCGCCGTCTCCGCGCTCCTTTCGCCCACACCTTACAGCGCACACCCCCTCTATCCTCCGCTTACCGCGCTTGCTGTAGCAGAAATGCACCAAATCCGCCTGCATGTGTTGCGCCTTCTCCGCGCTCCTTGCGCCGCCCCACTGATTCTCCACCGCAAGCTGCAGCGCGGTCCAGCGCGCAAACACCAGGCGCACGCCCTCGCGGAACCACCCGTCCGCGTGCTGCTCCGCCGCCGTTATGGGGACGGGCACGGGGCCGGGGAGAACCGCTCCGCTGCGCAGCTCCATGCTCGGGGAAAGACGGCGCGAAGGGGGGGATATGCGGAATAACGTTTCGGGGGAAATTCGTGCGGAAAAAGTTGCGCAGAGAAAGTTGCGCGGAAAAAGTATCCGCAAAAAGTCGACTGCAGAAAAAGAAGCGGTGCACTCGACTGTTGGAAGTAATTCGTGGCTGAGAAAGCGGGGGAATGACACGAGCACAAGTGAAAGGGGAGAGGGGATAAGCGAAGGGGTTGAGTTGGGTTTGAGGGTGCAAGGCCTAAATGGCTGGTTGGGTTGAAAAAATATCTTGAACACACCGTATTCATGCGGTAGATGTACATTCTGTCTTTTGCCGTCTAAACGGATCGTCTCGTCACGAGTATGGAATCCACTTCATGTTTGCGGTCCGTCCCAGAGAAGACATTCCCAAGGTTGCTCTGACACTCCCGCCAGGCAACACAGCAGCATTCTCACAGGCAGACCCAGCTCGTGCTGCTTGTTCCAGCTGAAGTACATTTCTAAGACCTAGTCTCTCGTATCTTCTCTTGACGATCTGAGCTTGAATAATTAGGCGATTTCTCTGTTGTATTGCTTGAGATGCTTATGCCCAGGCTTCCAGAGTAGCCTTGCGAAGAGTCTTGATCTCGCTTATCTGTTTCCTTCAGTATTCCTTTTGAAGCCTTCTCAGCATTCACGATCACCTCCTAAGATCAAACCCTGGTGACGCGATCACGTTCCTTGAAGACACGAGGCAGCTTCTCAGGCACCCAGCTGGCGCGACCAGACGCAGAGAGCGTGAACGGGTAGTGCCACGTTTAACCATAAATCGCTTGTTAGGGGTACCGTATAGTATCCATGGCTGCTCATAATCATAGCGGGTCTAGTAACCCTCGCAATAGCCCGTACGGCGGACCCTTGTCGCCATCGGGTGTGGCTAGAACGCGGGGGGTGAATGTTACTACAGCGGGAGGTGTGACTACTGCGGGGTCAGTGAGCGACAGCAGCAAGGCGGCCAGCGCGCTATGGCTCATGGCGTCACACTTCGAGAGTACACATCAGATTCCACAGGTGCGGTGCTGACGTGTAATGCCCCAGGTAATTTTCTGGTTTAATGACTTCGGATCGTCCCCATTACAACTTGATCCTATCTCCTCCTCCCAGTCACCCCCCGCACCCCTCCCCCCGCTCCAGCTAGTGAAGCAGTGTGTCAGAGCTAGCCTTGGATTGACGATACATTACACCCTCCTCCCACGTCCTTCGCCTCTCTCCCCTTTCCCTCCCCTGCCTCCTTCTATCAGCTAGTGAAGTGCTTGGAGGCCGTGTGTCAGAGCCCCCAGCCGTTCCTCCCTCTCGTGGAGGTTCGCACGCGCTGCTGGCTGGCCCACGTGCTGCTCAGACACTCCCGCAACGTGCTGCACGCCAAGGCGCATCTCGAGAGAGCGGTGAGATGCGGTGATGTGCATTGGATAACAGTTGTAGAAAGGTGCGGTGGAGGTTCACACGCGCTGCTGGCTGGCCCATGTGTTGCTCAAACACTCCCGCAACGTGCTGCACGCGAAGGCCCATCTCGAGAGATCGGTAAGACTCGGTGGTGTGCGGTGATTAACAGTTCCAGTAGGGTATGGTGGAGGTTCACACGCAGTGCTGGCTGGCCCACGTGCTGCTGAAACACTCCCTCAACGTGCTGCAGGCCAAGGGTCAACTTGATGAGTGGTAAGATGTGGTGATGTGAGGTGATGTGAGGTGATGTGTGGTGATGGTCGGCTCAAGAAAGGTGTGGTGGAGGTTCACACGCGGTGCTGGCTGGTTCACGTGCTGCTGAAACACTCCCTCAACGTGCTGCACGCCAAGGGGCACCTTAAGAGAGTGGTAAGATGGGGTGACGTGCGGTGCGTAGAGGTTGCGCGGGTCTGGTATTATCTGATAGTCATCTAACCTGGTACTGGCCGGTTGGCGCATGTGCTGCTGTGCTATCAACAGCTTCCTTCCGTTTCCCTCCATCCCTCCGTCCCATCCCACCTGTGGTGCCCTCTCTTTCCCTCCTCCCTCCTCCCCTCCGTCCCCCTCCTGCTGCCAATGCAGCAAGTCCTTCTGAAGGCCATCCCTGGGAATATCCCCCTCAAGTGCTCGGCCCTCTCTCTGCTCGCCACGTGTTACCACCTGATTGGCCACGCCCACTTCCACAAGCACGTGCTTCAAAAGGGCCTCGATTTAGTCACACACCAGCTCGCCACACTCCCACGCCCGGACTCCCAAACCTGGGGCTCAGCCTCGGGCTCCCAGCCAGGTCCCAGCTCGGTTGCAGGGTTGGGTGCAGGTTTGGGCGGAGGCTCGGGTGGAGGTTCGGCTGGGGAGCTGGCTCGGTGGATGGGGGTGTTTTCAGTGGGGATGGCGGGGAGGCTACTGGGGGAGGGGGATGTGGAGGGGGCTGCTGCTGCGCTGGGGAAGGGGATGGCTGCTGTGCAGTCGACAGGGGATAGGGGCATGATGGTAAGTTTGTTTGAGTGAATTTGCGATTGAGGACATGTCGGTTGGCATAAGCGCTGTTGCCCTCGCATGCCTTTGCCCTCACATTCACATGCCTTTGCCTTCACATTCACATGCCTTTGCCCTCACATTCACATACCTCTGCCCTCACATTCACATGCCTCTTCCTTTCTTCCCTTCCTCCATCCCTCCCACATGCCTTTGCCTTCCTCCATCCCTCCCACATGGTGCATCCACCTCCAGCTCCTGCTATCCGCTTCCCTCCTGCACATTCGCATCTCGACCGTCCATCACACGCCGCAGCAGATCTCAGCCCTTCTTTCAGGCTGCACCTCTCTGTGGCAGCAGATTCCGCCACCTCAGCAACCAGACTACCGTGGCCTGTTCGTCTACGTCCAATTGCTGGCTGCCACGTGGCACCTCCGCGTGGCTGACTACAACCAGGCCAAGGCTGACGTGGCAGCGGCAGAGGAGGCACTGGCGGGAATGAGTCCCGCTGCAGCGGATCGTGATGTGCCAGCTGGCAGCTCGCCAGCTGCTGCGTCAGCGCCATGTCAGCAGCAGCAGCAGCAGCAGCAGCAGCAGCAGCAGGGGGGGAATGTGCATGCACAGAGACTGGGGCAAGATACAGGAGCAGTAAGAGCAGTGGGTGCTGAAGGAACAGTGATCCCAAGGGAAGCAGGAGAAGCGCCAGGTGCATGTTACAGGGACGACCCGTTGATGCGGTTACCGCTCGGCCCGCCCCACGTGCTCAATGCTGATTGGCTGCCGCTGCCAGCTGTCAGGGCGATGGCAGGCCTGCTAAAGGTTATGCTTAGCCGCCCGGGAGGAAAGCTTCTGGAAGCTGAGGGGGCGTTGAAGGAGGAGAGGGAGATGCTGCGAGGTGAGTGGTGTGTGTGTGTGTGTGTGTGTGTGTGTGTGTGTGTGTGTGTGTGTGTGTGTGTGTACGCATGTGCGCACGCGTGTGTGATTTTTGAGGCGCCTCAAAAGTCACCTCACTACCCGCGTGTGTGTGTGTGTGAGAGCTGGAAGCAGAGGGGTCGCTGAAGGAGAAGAGGGAGATGCTGCAAGGTGAGTGGTGTGTGTGTGTATGCGCACGTGCGCGCGTGTGATTTTTGAGGCGCCTCGCCTCACTACCCATGTGTGTGTGTGTGTGTGTGTGTGTGTGTGTGTGTGTGTGTGTGTGTGTGTGTTTGTGTGTGTGTGTGTGTGTGTGTGTGCTGGAAGCTGAGGGGGCGCTGATGGAGGAGAAGGAGATGTTGCGAGGTGAGTGAGGTGCATGCATGAGAGTGTGTGAGTCGATTGGGTGTTTGCGTGGGGTGGGTGTATGAGTGGGGTGTGTGTGTGAGTGGGTGTGGGTGTGGGTGTGGGTGTGGGTGTGGGTGTGTGTGTGTGTGTGTGTGTGTATGTGTGTGTGTGTGTGTGTGTGTGTGTGTGTGTATGTGTGTGTGAGTGGGTGTGTGTGTGTGTGTGTGAGTGGAGTGTGTGGGTGTGGGTCTGTGTGTGAGTGTCAATGCGGCTAATGAGGTGTGTGGTTGTGAGTGGTGATGCGGCTAGTGGGGTATGACATATCTAGTGGCGCGCACTCTTTGTCTCAAAACGCTCTGTCCCCTGCACCTGCTCGAGTGCTCCTTGCCATCCTCTCATTCTCATCCTTCTCAAAACCGTCAGCCCTCAACCCTAACTTGTCAAACCCTTCAACCCTAAACCCGAAACCCCGTTCTCACAGATGAGTTACACCGCATCGGGGTCCTCCCAGGCTCGACAGGTACCCTTACACACTCACTCCCCTTCGTCCTAAAAAATATCAACAGTCACTATTGAAATTTCTCAAGGTGCCTCCAGCACTTTTAGAGCAGCCGCAGCCCCCTGTTTGATGCACGCTACAGCTTAGAGCCCTCGACAATGCTGGCGGCATTGCAAACCTACCCTGTCATACCCTGTCATACCCTTTCAGTCGCGCCGTCAGTTCGTCATACCCCCCCTCACTTCCACCACAGAGTCGAGTTTGGAGCCATGGAGTGTGGCATGGGCAGGAACGCTCCTCCTCTTGCTCCTCTACGTCTTGGAGGCCCAAGCGGTGCTGGCCCTGACGTCCACAGAATATCCTCTAGCACAGCGGGTAAGTAGGCAGACACAGGCTTGTGTGGGGGCGGGGAGGTTGAAGGGGAAGCAGGTATGGTGACTCTCCTCCTCTTGCTCCTCTACGTCTTGGAGGCCCAAGTAGTGCTGGCATTGACATCTACTGAGTACCCTCTTTCTCAACGGGTGAGCAGACACATACAGGGCTGTGGGGGAGGTGGGGGGGGATGGGGTGGAAGGGGGACGAAGGTAGATGGCAGTGTCTCTACGTCTTGGAGTTTCTAGCAGTGCTGGTGCTGACCTTTACAGAAAACCTCCTCTCTCAACGGGTAAGTGCTGGGAAACATGGGATTGGAGGAAAAGTTGCGCTGCCTTGGTTTTTGGACAGGATCAACTGAGACGATTTTTTAGGCACCTCAAAAATCAGGATCAGCTGTCATTCTTGAGTCGACTCAAAAATCGACTCATCGCTCAGGATCAGCTGTCATCTTTTGATGCGCCTCAAAACTCATCGCTCAGGATCAACTGTCATCTTTTGAGGCGCCTCAAAACTCATCGCTCAGGATCAACTGTCATCTTTTGAGGCGCCTCAAAACTCATCGCTCAGGATCAACTGTCATCTTTTGAGGCGCCTCAAAACTCATCGCTCAGGATCAACTGTCATCTTTTGAGGCGCCTCAAAACTCATCGCTCAGGATCAACTGTCATCTTTTGAGGCGCCTCAAAACTCATCGCTCAGGATCAACTGTCATCTTTTGAGGCGCCTCAAAACTCATCGCTCAGGATCAACTGTCATCTTTTGAGGCGCCTCAAAACTCATCGCTCAGGATCAACTGTCATCTTTTGAGGCGCGTCAAAACTCATCGCTCAGGATCAACTGTCATCTTTTGAGGCGCCTCAAAACTCATCGCTCAGGATCAAGTGTCATTCTTCCTGGTTGTTTCTCCATTCTCCCACGTGTTCTCATTCCACCCAATCATTCCAACCGACCTACCAGGTTCTGCTGGAGATTTGTGATTGGTCGAGTCGATTCCCGACCCTGCTGGCCTCGTTCGGTCCGAACCTCCACCTCTTGCTTGGGCAGTACGCCCATTCCACGATTGATCTTCCAATCGCAATCCGCCACTTCAGCACTGCTGCAGCCAAGGTTGGTGACTGCCTTGCTCGCTGCTCTTTTGACTCATCTTGCTCTCTTGCTCTCTTGGTCTCTTGGTCTCTTGGCTCGCCTCTACAGTTTCTCCGACGTGCCATTCACCATCACCCCATCCACTGCCGTGCTCGCTGCTCTTTTGACCCATCTTGCTCTCTTGTTCTCTTGCCACATCTTTCCATTTTCACCAACGTGTCATTCACCCCCGCAAATAACCACTCTCTTTTCCGCTAACCTTGTCTCTCTCTGCCTCGCCACCATCTCAACCACTCATTCTCTGTCTCTTCCCCCACACACTCCTCTCCAGGCGGCATCCTCCTCCCCCCACCACCTCCACCATCGCCCCATCCGCTGCCTGGCCCTCTGCCTGTCCGCCATCGTGCATCTCACCATCGACGACCCATCGCATGGCCATATCTCTCAGGTGTGTTTCCATCACACATACCCCAGGCGAGTTCCTTCCCTCCAACCCCCCTCCCTCCTCACCCCACCACCTCCACCATCGCCCCATTCGCTGCCTGTCCGCCACAGTGCATCTCACCATCGACGACCCCTCGCATGGCCACATTTCCCAGGTGTGTTCACATTGCCACATATCCCAGGCGAGTCTTCTGAGGCGAGTTGTAGGAAGGTTCAGGCATCTCTCTGGATGATGGGTTGCCATGCCATCTCGCTGATTCAAACAACTTGCAAGAACCAAACCAAGGCGATATCTTAGGCGCCTCTAAAATCTCACTTGGTTTGATTGCTTGGTTAGGACATCTTTGGCTGATGGCACGCCATGCAATCTCACTTGTACAAGCAATTTCCATTGAGTTTACTCTTTGCCACTCGTTTAACCCTTTTGCTGCCTCTTCTTTGGTCATTCATCCCTTTCCCCCCAGGCAGTGGACGTTTCATCGGATTAAGAGCAGGAAGTAGCAAAGCGCGCCTTTTCAATCGACCCTTCTTTCTTTAGACATTTTCCATGCTGCCTCCTTTTTTCCGTGTCACTCTGATCCCCTTCCCTCCAGGCAATTGACATTCTATCAGCACCGGAGCAGGAAGAGGCACAGCACGCCCAAACACGGCAGCTGCAGCTGCAACAGCAACGTTGGGTCGCTCTCTTCCTGCTCCATTTGCTCATTCTTCCCTCCTTGCCTCTGTGTCAGCAGACAGTCTATCAGCAGGCAGTGGACATTCTATCAGCACTGGAGCAGGAGGAGGCACAGCACCCTTTTTGAGTTGACTCTTCTTTAGCCAATTCATTGCCTTCTTTGGCAAAACCATTTGCCTGTTGTACCTTCCACTCCCTCTCTATTCAGGCTGTGGACATTCTATCAGCAATGGAGCAGGAAGAAGCACAGTATGCCCAAAGACGGCAGCAGCAGCAGCAGCAACAAGCTGGAGCATTGCCATCACCATCGGCACCAGCGGTTGCAGCAGGAGACGAGAGAAAGAGGGAGCAGTGCGCTCAGCTGCTGGCAACGGCGCTGCTGGCGCTGAGGCAGGAAAACCTGGTGGATGCACGGTGAGTTGCAATCGTCAATCATGCTAAAGCACGTTAGCAGCAGGGGAGGGGAGGACGAGGGAACAGTGCGCACAGCTGCTGGCAACGGCGCTCGTGGCGCTGAGACAGGGCAGCCTGGTGGATGCCAGGTGGGTCTCTGGTGGTGCCGTGTGTGTTGATGGGGTAAGGTGGTTGTGGTGAGGCAAGGCAACATGTGTGTAGGAACCAGGTGATGAATGCGTTGCTTGAGCCAGGTGGTTGGTATCAAGCCGTGAGGCAATGATGTTGCAGAACGCGAACAGTGGGACGGGAGGACGAGGGAGCAGTGCGCACAGCTCCTGGCAACGGCACTCTTGGCTCTGAGACAGGGCAACCTGGTGGATGCCAGGTGGGTTTCTGGTGGTGCAAGGTGGGTATGGCGGTGCAAGCCCTGTGAGACACACGTGTTAAAGCACGAAAGCAGGGGGGGAGAGGAGGAGGGGAGTAAGAGGGAGCAATGCACTCAACTGCTGGCAACAGCTCTGCTGGCGCTGAGACAAGGCAACCTGGTGGATGCCAGGTGGGTCTGGTAAACGCCAGGTGGGTATGACGTTTTGGACTCACAGATTTCTCAGAACGAACCCGGCTGAGTCAAGTCGCTTTGCTCAAGGTAATAACATTCGATCGCACTTTTGAGATGTCTCAAAGGTAATGACATTCAGTCGTATATCTCGTGATTCTGGTAGTCCACTCCCCTTCTTCCCTTCCTCCCACGTGGCAGGAGCCGACTTGCCCAAGGGCTGTTGGTGACTCACCGCCAGCTCAGCAACCACCAGATTGCCGCCCATTTCCTGCTGGCCATAGGCGGCATCGCACTGCGCACTAGCGACCTCGTTGGAGCAAAGGACATTTTGAGATCCGGACTGACTCTATTTCGGGCGGCAAGAGACACACAGGGCGTGGTAGCCGTTGCGGCAGAACTATCACGTGAGTTTGAAGGGGGGGGAGAATGGGAGAAGCTGTCGCGTGAGTTACAATATTACTAGATTAGTCACCAATTATGCAAAAATGGCTCGAAAACGTTAAAGCATAGCATTGGCACTGCGCACCAGAGCATTGCTTCTGCGCACAAGCAGAGGTGACTTTTGAGTCGACTCAAAAAGCATAGCATTGGCACTGCGCACCAGAGCATTGCCTCTGCGCACCAGAGCATTGCCTCTGCGCACAAGCAACCTTGTGGGAGCAAAGGACATCATAAGGTGTGGGCTGACTCTCCTCGTGAGTGATTTTTGAGAATTCTCAAGAATCAAAGGACATCATGAGGTGTGGGCTGACTCTCTTCCAAGAGGCAAGGGATACACAGTGCGTAGTGGCAGTGGCATCAGGGATATACACAGGGATGACATCAGGGCTATCACGTGAGTGTGAAGGGACGACTTCCCCTCTCCTTCCGCATTTGCTCCCCGTGCTCCAGTCTTATGCAGATCAGCAGACGAGGCAATGGCAGAGAGTCAGAGCGCAGCGCATTTGGCTCGCAAGTGATGCGAGCTGAGTCGACTCACAAGTCCCCTTCCCGCCTTGCTCCCTTCCCCTTCCCCTCCCCTCCTTGCTGCCTTCCCAGTCTTGTACAGGTCAACAGATGAGGCGATGGCAGAGAGTCAGAACGCGGCGTATCTGAATCGCAAGCGAGGGGAGCTGAGTCAGCAGGTCAGAGCAGCGGTCGGCACACCGGGGCACGCCATACTGCTACAGGTATTTATCAATTTCATGTTCTAAGTAGAATTTGCTTCTTGTTATTCTCAAACGCTAATGTTTCTCTTCTCTTGGAATGAGTACCGGCTGAGCATTTGCATTCGCACTGATAAAATTACAATAGGTACCCTTCCAGTGGTAATGCCAATCGCTACCTGTGTTGACTCGCTTGTGCTTTTCCCCTTGGCCACCGCAGTATGGTCCTCCTCTGTAAGGCTCTATATCGCTCTGAAAGCCTTGAAACCGCCTCTCGACAGCATATCGCTTCGTCAACCACTGAGAAATACTCTCTGATGCACACCGCCCGACACTTTAGCTTGGCTCGGCAATGCGACCATTTCTACACCTGCTGCTGCTGCAGCAGCTGGTTCTGCTGAAAGCTCTTCAACCCAATGTCTTTCCCGTGCCTTCTTCTGCTGCCGTGTGAAGCAACACCTGTAGCTGCAGCCTGCAGACTTGACATTTGTGGAGAATGTGCTACACATTTCTGCCAGCCATTATATCAGCAAAACTGGTTTCCATCAGCTGGCCTAGCTTCTACAGTACGCAACATATCAGCAATGTAGCATACTCTATATTGGCACTAAATGTGCCATGCGTGTTACACAAGGCCTGAAAGATAAACAAGACCCGCTCCATATGCCCCGAGAATAGTCCGTGAATAACCTACTGCTGAGTCCAGGAAGTGGCATACAGTATGCCCAACACGTTAAGTTCCAACCAACCCCGAAAAAAATAGAAAAGACCCTTTCCCTGTATTAATCTCACCACCCATGAACAGTAGAAAGACATTTCTTTCTACCCATGAACAGTATGCGACCCATCAAAGAGGTCCGCATTGGCCACATGGGCTTGCACCGCGGCTAGCACATGATTCATCCCCGCTCCCGAACCTCCGCTTATCAACGCCGGACCTGCAGCTCCGGTCCCCAAACCTGCTGCTGCTGCCGTAACGGCATTCCCCGCACCAGCTCCCCCTCCCCTCACCCCTCCGTACCCTAGACTCCCCCCACCCACCCCGATATTGCTCTCCCCCTCGCCCTCATTCCCCCCACCGTCTCCCCCCAACCCCCCTGCTCCGCCCACTCCCCCGTCCCCATCCCCCTCTTCCCCCAGCGCCCCCCCCGCCCCTTTTTCTCCTTCCTGGATCAGCCGTGTGAGAAGCTCTTCTATCTGCACTGCTGTGGCGTCCCTGTTTGCCTTGGTGAGTGTGAGCACAGCTGAATGGGGGGGAAAGAGAGGATACGGAGGGAGGGCATGAGGCATGAAAGCACAGAGGTCCCCCTCCCGCTCCTTTTTCCCCTTCCTGGATCAATCGTGTGAGCAGCTCCTCTATCTGCACTGCTGTGGCGTCCCTGTTAGCCTTGGTGAGTGTGAGCACGGCTGATGGGACAGAGGAGTGGGGGAGAAGGGATGAAGGAAGTAAAATGGGAAGGGGAAGGGGGATGCTGAGTGCATGCTCCAACGAAGCTATGCCCAAGTCTAAGCGCAAAGACCCTGCTATGACTTTACAACATAAGCGAGAAAAGTTTTTCAGGCGCCGCATATATAATGTGTTATGAGCCCAACGGCGTAAGTACCTGTGTCGGCGCGCTGTTGAGGCGCCTCTTTTGATCCGCCTTTTGAGGCGACTTTTGAGGCGTCTCAAAAGTTTTTCAGGCGCCGAATATATAATGTGTTATGAGTTGAATAACATAAGTACCTGTGTCGGCGCGTTGTTTGATTTCCTCCACTAGCTCCAAAGTGTGACCATAACGAGGGGCTGGCAGGGCACCAAACACCTGCAGACACACATCAACGAGAGCGCGAGAGCAGTGAAGAGTGTGAATGAGTGATGAATGCATAGGAGGAAGAGTGTATTGAAGACGATAAGTACCTACGGAATCAGATGGAAAACCTAGAGGCTGTGCAGCAGGGACTGGGGTAAGAATGAAACGGCTTACAGCAACGGGAGAGGCGAGCAGGTTGAGCACGGCGTCTCTGAACTTGTCACTGCAGAGCTCCATACGCCCGATCTGGATGGGAGAGAGCGGGAGGGAGGGAGGGAGGGGGACGGAGGGAGGAGGGAAGAGGGAGGCGGAGAAGGTAGGGAGGTAGAGTGGGGAGGGAGGGCAACAAGGAGGAGGCAAGCAGGTTGAGATCAGCGTTTTTGAACTTGGTCATTGCACAGCTCCATGCGACCGATTGGGATGGGGGAAAGAGGGAAGGCAGGGGGGGGAGAGAGGGGAGAGGGAGATACTGAGAGAAAGGGGAGGTAGTGGGGAGAGGGAAGCACCTCATTTGATGCGTGTAATCTGGTGGCATGAGGTGCGGATGAGGTTCGGCATGAGGTGCGGATGAGGTTCGGCATGAGGTGCGGCATGTGGTTCGGCATTGATAGCCTAGCATCGCAACTGCTTCTCTCACCCCTCTAGCTCACCTCATCCACGATGTGTAGTCGTGTGGTGTCCGATGGCATGAGGTCGGCAGCACTATGCATGGTTAAGCTGCCTTTGACAAGACCTCACCACACCCACCCACCCACCCACCCACCTCATCCACAATGTGCAGTCGTGTGGTGTCTGACGGCATGAGGTGTGGCAGCACTACCCGCTCGAACTCATCTATTGCCACGTAGTACTTGCCGATCTGAGATAGGGAAGGAGGTCGGAGAGGAGGGAGTGCGATAAATAACGCATTTGTTTTGAGACATGTTTGTGACCGGCAGTACTACTCGCTCGAACTCATCTATTGCCACGTAGTACTTGCCGATCTGCCGAGGGAGAGGATCAAGGTGACTTTTGAGTCGACTCAAAACTTTTAAGGTGACTTTTGAGTCGACTCAAAAGTCACTCCGATCTGCTGAGGGAGAGGATCAAGGAACGGAATCGGTTATGGAAGAGTGTGAGAATCAGGCAGCACTACCCACTCGACTCGTCTATTGCAACATAGTACTTACCAATCTGAGGAAGGAGAGTAGCTGGTGAGGAAGACAGAGAGAGAGGGAGCAGTGAGACCATCTATTGCCATGTATGACATGCAGATCTCCCCCCGTACAACCCAAAGCTCCATTCCCCCACCCGTGGATGGAACCACACTCTCTCCTTAATCTGAACAGATACAACACCCCAACCGCATGCCTTTGTCTCCCATCCCCTCCCCCCATCCGTTCCCCTTTTTCCCCGTCCCCCACTCCCGGTTCCCCCACCTCCCCCTTAATCTCCCCCTTTCCCATCCTCCATTTGCGTCCGCAGCCGCTCTGAAATTTGCACAGAGGCGCGCGCTCGTCGCCATGCCTTCCCATCCCCTTCCCTGCACTTACCCCCCTTTATCTCTCCATTTCCTCTCCCCCCTCCTCCCTCTTCCCCGCCTCACATTGCTCTCCCCCCAGCCCCTTCCCCCCACCTTGGGCCCGCAGCCTCTTCGTAATCTGCAAAGTGGCGCGCGCTCGCCTGCGAAAGTGACTGTAACGAGGGGACCGGGGAAGACGGGGGGGGGGGGGGGGGGGGGGGAGAGGAGGGAAAGAAGGAATGGAAATGGCGCAGTATAAATGGAAGGAGTTTAGATTGAGGGCAGGTTGGTAGGGAGAAGGAGAGGCGAGGAGGGGGAGGGGGTGGGCGAGGGGGAGTGGAAGGGGGAGGGAAAAAGAGGGATGCATGGGAACGATGGGATGCAGCACAGAGCCTTTAACATCTCCTTCACCACTCAAACTGCCTACTAGTTAGTCTCTCCTCTCTCGCTCCCTTCCCCTAAATCCATCCCCACTCCCCCTCCTCACTCTCCTTACCCACTCACCTCCAAGCTCCACTTTCAAACCTCCTCATCCCCCTCCCTTTCCCTCCCCCTCCCTTTCCCTCCCCCTCCCTTCCCCTCCCCCTCCCCTCCCACACTCACTAACATCCAGGCCGAGTCGTTCCCCCGTGCCCTCCGCCTTCGCCTCAACCGTGTAGAACCCCGCTACTAGATGCTGCGGTAAGCGCTTCGCCACCTTCAGCACCAACCTGCAGTGTACACGCAATACGAATCCACAGGGACAAAAAAGCACAAATCTTCTAGTGTACTCGCAATAAGGTAACCACTCAAAGCGGCCGGTCACCTCCAAGACATCAAGAGTGTGCGAGCACCAACGGGGAAGACAGCAGAACTGACAGACGGAAACCGCTACAGAGATTCAGTTCATATACGGGAGAAAGAGACATCCATATATACAGAGCACGATGATACATAGATGGCTTTTGAGTCGACTCAAAAGTCAATTCAGTTCATATACGGGGGAAAGAGACATCCATATATACAGAGCACGATGATACATAGATGGCTTTTGAGTCGACTCAAAAGTCAATTCAGATCATATACGGGGGAAAGAGACATCCATATATACAGAGCACGATGATACATAGATGGCTTTTGAGTCGACTCAAAAGTCAATTCAGTTCATATACGGGGGAAAGAGACATCCATATATACAGAGCACGATGATACATAGATGGGGCAAAGAGGAGAAGGGGTGTCTGTGCACTCACGAGGTTTTTCCGATGCCTGGAGCACACGTGCCCACGCATGTCGTGTACGCGGCCACGCGTGTCATGCGCGCGCCCACGCATGTCATGCACACGCGCCCACGCAAGCCATGCACACGCACGGCGCCAAAACGGGGGAAATGGGAGGCGGGAGGCGGGGGAAGGGGAAACGTAACACCGGCAGTTGAGGAACATGCACGGGGGCGGCGGGGTGAAGAGGCGAGAGAAGGACACGAAATGGAACCGCATGGGAAGCAAACCAAGACGCGTTTTTAGATGCTTCGGATGGGTCAAGCTTGAGTAGTCACCCTGTGCTGCTTCCGGTTCGCTTCAACCGTTGGTTGCGCCGCAGGATGCGGCATGACGAGCAGCAACTTGAGGTGATACAGTGATGCTAGACTGTTGTTTTAGACGTCTCTGGGAACGAGACGCGATCGCTATGCTGGTTAGTCGGGCTGTTTCATGTGAAATAGCGGGCGGTGCAGCACAGCACAGAAGTCGGTGTGCTTACAAAGAGGTCCCTGGCTTGTCTGATGGCTCTACGGTATCGGGTGTGCTTATATCGAAGTACCTGGCTGGCCAGTGACGAACACGTTCACGGTGGAGCTGTTGGCTCCGCTGGTGCCGCTCGTGCCTTCGTGCGAGACCATCTGAACCATCCACGGAGTCGCGGGGTGACTGAATCTACGGCTCCGATTCGCTGCTAGCTGCTAGCTACGCTACGTATTACAATGCCGCAGCTTCGCCCAGTGAGCTAAATGTAACGTCGTGATGACGCTACTACTCCTCCGTCTAGCCTAGTAACCTCTGCTTGCTATCTTCGTCCCTTGAAAAATGCGTAGCCTCTGTTAGTCTCTGCCTACTTCCGTGACGTCATGACGGGATACGGATGTCTGAAAGGTTCTCTCACGTATGGTTGGGACCAGATCACGTGGCTGGAGAACTTAGCCTAAGCTTGACAAAATATGCGAAAACAAACGGAAAATGGCATATATCTTTCAAGATGCTGCGGTAGCGCTGGAGTAAGAAGCGGGAAGCAAACGGGTCCGCGCTGTTTTGACGTTTTCCTGGTGTTAGTTTCTGCTGAATGAAGGAGCAATGATGTACGTATGACGCAGATCCCGCTTGCATCACAAGGGAGAGCTAGACAAAAGGGAACTGTTCAGTTCAGAAGAAATGGGAGGAAATGGTGGGATGGGACGAAAACAAGAGCAAAATCGAAACAGCTTGGCGAGGTGAATTCTGGGGAATGTCCTACTGCCAGAGCACGCGTCGCGAAAAAATCTAGGTTGCTGGAAGAAAAATCAGTGCGTGTAAAATGGGATTTAGAACTTGGCAAACCATGTGACGCTATGTTGCACACTGTACAGCTTGGTGACGCTAGAAACTGGTGAATGGTCAATAAGTGAAATCACCCTGCTGGGGCAGCTTGTACCAAAATGCTTGGCGGTTGCTCGGTGGGCAGTGGTAAGTCCAGCGCATAGCCGGAAAAGCTGGGTGTCACTGCGCTGGACGCAACAGAGGCACAAGAAAGGCCAGGAGAAAGTCCCGCAAGCTCGAGGCGGGCTGAGCTGGCTCCACGTGGGACAAGACATGACTTGTGCTTTCGTGGCACATCCAATGAAATTGCAGGAGCCCCCAAGATGCTGTGCTGTAGATGTCCTGTCAATCCATGGTGGAGGAACAGCGTGCACACGCTGAGCAGGCAGTGTGCGAACACCGTACAAGGAGCATGACCAAGTTGACCCAGATATTGCTGTTCTCCTCTAATTCAGATGTTACATTATACATTTATAGCCAGTTTTGTCTTCTGACAAGATTACTCAGCCACTGCATTTATCTGCAGCGCAAAACCGGAGTAATTAAAACACAAACCTTGCACACAAACAGCTATAATCTCTATGCTCGGGTGGGCAAAGCAGTTCATAACCCAGCCGAGCTTCCAAGCAGGCACTGCTGCTACTGTTTTGGCCTCTTCGTGAATGGTTAAATACTATCTACCAGGAATAACCACTCGAATTACAGGTGAAAAACGGTTGGAGAGCAAAAATTGATCTCTACCAATCATTAGGATACACTTGCCGGAGCTTCTTTCCAGGGACATACGTGCCATCTTGGAAACCCACGAAAAACTGCACCATCACACAAAAAGATCCACAATCAGGCTCCCCATTCGTGGATGCGTAACGGATGGAATGGAACCAGAACCTAACTTACCTTGGGAATCCAGGGGTGAACAACTGGTGAAGCATCACTCTGGGCTACGAGATTTTCCTGTGCGACGTAAGTGGAGACACCTCCTGCTCTATCTCGAGTGTCTACCAAGACGTGGTAGAATGGCTGGCTTCTCCCATGCGTCAATAGGTCCACTTTCATCGCATCTTGCCAGCTGGAAGGGGCTGAGCACTCAGGATCGTGACCGTACACGACGCCGCGATAGCCTGTACACGGAAGGGGGTGAACAGGGATGGTCTATTGGACTGGCCGTGATGAAGAGTGATAATGAGATAAAAATTGCTACAAACGCTCACCGTATCTGCGGTGCACGATGACATCTCCCACACGGTACATAATGCGCGGTTTGGCCTGAATCTCTAACAAACGCTTCCGAAACTCCATCATAGCTAGGCTGTCGCGGACCTGCAAGAAAAAGCATGCGTCAATGACTAATTTGGAAGCTCTGGTGCTACAAAAGCATAATCTCGAATTCAGCCTACCACGCATGCTTCCTCGTAATGTTCTGCCGCCACCAGAGCTGCCATTCGGTCTTGCAGCTCTTTCACCTCAGACGACACGACCACGTATGACTCGCTCATTTCTAATTCCTGCAAAATCAATGGAAAGTGGGTGAGGCCTGCAACGAATACGAACGGTATAAAAACACGACATAGAACGGGCCAAGAACGGGAAAGACGCACCTTCCTAGCCCTCCTCTCCACAACACAGTCATTTCCAAAAGAGTCGCGAAAATTCTCAAGCGGATCGGCCACTTCCATGCGCCAGGCCTTCGGTCGCCGGACTTCGCGATTGCAACAGACTTTGGTTGAGAGCTTTAAAGGTTGACTGTTTCCAAACATCGAGGACATTGACGAGCGCACGGTTCGTCCTTTCTGAGCTACCTGCTCTTCACTCTTAAGTGGTCGGTAACACGCGCAATCCTTCAACACTACGGAGCTCGCTGAGAAGGCGGCCATAGCTAATATTCTAATGACTTCAAACCCGTTCCGTAACTGGGAGCATCAAATAAAAAAATATCGGAGAGATCAACGACGGTGGTTGACGACGTTTGCAATGCTCGACATGAAACAGCAGAAGTCGATGACAACCTAGCAAGGGCAGTCCAGCACTGAAAAGGAGTAGACGATTGCCTTGATCTGTTGGGAGTTTGAACAGAAGTGGTGGGGAGGGAATGGAGAGGAGCAGGAGTTCTGGAGGGGGGTCAGTCACATGGGCCGAGGGGAGGAGGAAGGAGGTGGAGAAGGATCGGGCAGATGTTAGGTCAGCTGACATGGCATGAAAAAGGGATTGTGATCCGCTGAGGAGGAATGTTTACACGAGGAAGAGGTAGCATCCCTCCCAACGTGGAGCCACGTGAGTGGCTGCGGTAGATCGTGGCACAATCAATGGCGCCGATTGGAAACCCGTTAACACTGGAGGCGGGCTTGGCGCGCAGGCTTATGACTGGTGGTGAATGGATGATGTTGCAGTTTCGTTTCCGTGCAGACCGCAACAGGAAGAAAGGAGGACGTTCTGTCCACATGTGGTGACTGTGGATGGTGGTGATTTTGACGCGACCCATCAAAATCGACCGAAAATGTGTGGACTTCCGTTCGAGGATATTCGATGTGCAATTGATATTCCCGTTTACTTGGGGGATGAAATCACGTGTAGAATTACGTACTGCACTGCTCTAGACCGTTTTGAAAACCGTCCGAAAAGTTCTGTATCGCAAAAAATAGAGGATATCGAAAGTGGTCTCCCCACAACTCATCAAACCACATGACAAAATGCTGTGATGTAATATCTAGGATACACGCACTGAAATTAATGCGAGACGCTCTTTACGCGTACAAATTCTTCGGTGTTGTTCAGTCATTTGTTGAGAGTGCCGTTCCGTGTGCTGCTGCAACAAGATTACATGTGCTGATCGGCCTGTGAGAGTTGATGCCTAAATTAGGTGCTGATCGGCCTATGATTCCAAATGCCGTAGTCATAATTAGTGCGGTGTGTACACGAGTAGGTAATGAGCTACGAAACAAATGTTCGCTGATCTACAAAGTGGCAGCATATCAACTCTTATCTACCTAGATCAGGGAAGACAATGGCATTGGCACTCAGCGTCACACTTCATGGCCCCAAGCCTATTTTCAAGGCCATTTCCGAGATCTACCCGCCGCGAGAAGTTCATTCAGCCGCGAAGCATGTTATGGTAACCAGGAATGAATGGCGAACGAGCGACTACGATCGCGAGCCTGAGCCGACGAAACCTGTGGGATTGACCAATAGGAGAAGGCCATCTGGCATTGAGTGTGATGAGCCTGCTGCGGACCCTGCCGCCGTCGGCGACTCATCAAACGCGCAAATATGGCCTTCCACAGATGAACAGATTGAAGGAATAATCAGATCGGGTAGAGAAAGCAGAGAGATTAGAGACAGGAGAGTCAGAAGAGAAAGCAGAGACATCAGAGAAAGCAGAGAAAGCAGAGACAGCAGAGGAAGCAGAGAAAGCAGAGACAGAAGAGTCACCGAGAACAGGTGGGGTGATGCAGCCAGAAGCGACAGGGTTAAAGGGCTGGTTGGGGTTCAAGTCAAGGAACCTCACGGCTTGGTGAGAAAGCCTGCCAGGCAGGGACGGAATGCGGTGTGGAAAGCGCGCGACCGATCTGAGACGAATTCAGCGGCTTCAGATCCTCTTAGGGCGGCACTTTTTGCCGGAAAAGCTGATGAGAATGCGTCAGCGTCGCCAGACCGGCAAAGGACGGCAGATCGGGGGAGTCGGCAAAGGTGCGCTGCTGCTAGGCCGGCTGGCGAAGCAAGATCGTCCGACGCGGAGAGACCTGCGGAGGAGGTGGGGACGCCTAGATGGATCAAGAGTCGTGGGGAGGAGGTAGGGAAGCTTGTGTGGACAGAGAAGCGTACGACTGTTGATACATTTTCGAAGCCATCAATGGCGAATACCCCAGGCCCGACCAGCAACAGCAGCCGACGCTGGGAAAGTGACACTGCCGCTGATGCGAGAAGCAACATGGTTGGGGGGATGGGGCGTGGGAGAGAGGGTGCGAGAGAAAGGGCGGCGAAAGCAGCGGCGGAGATCAGAGCCCGAGGGTTGAGGGGAACAGCGGAGGTGGTTGAGTGTGTCACACGCCATAGTCTGGCTGTTGATAACCGGACGCTCAACCTGCTGCTTGGGATTATGGTGGGAGGAAGAGCAGTATCGGATAGCGGAGAGCTGATAACGGAGAAGGGAAATGACGGGAGAGCCACAGATAGGAGGCGTCCTGCTGTGTCTGGAGAAGGGGGGACAGGGTTTAGGCGAGGATTAGAGGAGAGGGATTGGGAAGGCGCAAAGGCGGTGACGGAGACGTTTGTAGCGGAAGGAGTGGAGTTGAATGAGCGGATCTACACCACGCTGATCTCATGCTTCGGGTGAGTGTGCTTTCAACCCTCATCTCCTTACTCCCTCTCTCCTTCCCTCTCCCCCTCTCGCCCCCTGTTGCCCTGGCTTCTCGTTGCCGCTCGCCCTAACGCTATCAAAATCACCACCAAAGCACCCGCCGAGTTTTCCGCTCCCCCTTCCCCTGTGCGCTGCAGCAAGGGCGGGCGCATGGGGGACTGCTGGCGGTGGTTCTGCGCTATGGAGAGACAGTGGGGGGTGGCGCAAGTGCAAATGGGCGCGCACATGCAACCAGTGGCGGAAGTGCAAGGGGAGGCGCAAGCACTGGGCGCGGGCGGTGAAGAACATGGGGAGGGGGAGGCTGAGGGGAAGTTGGAAGAGGGGAGCTGGGAGCAGGGAGGCTGGGGGGGAGTGCAGGAGGGCAAGAAAGGGGAAGGGGAGGAGGGTGCACACGGGAAGCATGTGTTTCTTCCGGAGGATATTTATGACGTGATGCTGGGGGCGTGTGTGCAGGTGAGAGTGCGGACGGGTGATGTATGCGGAAGGGGGGGAATGAGAGGAGGAGAAGAGACTATGAATGAAGCTGTGATTGGGCCACTGGGCCATTGTTTGCTTAAGAAATCCTTTTCCGTGTTTTTTTTTTTCCCGCTTGCCCTCATCATACCCCTCACCTCGTGGACTCCCACTTTCTTCCGCAGTGCGATGGCTGGAAGGGAGCGCTAGCCATCCACCACCACCTCTCAGCACACGGGGCTGCTGTATGCTCAAAATCTGTTCTTCCGTGTTCCTTTGCTATATAAGCTATTGTTTTATTCTTTCCGCATACCCCTCATCTTCTCCCATTTGTTCCGTCAGTGCGAGGACTGGAAAGGTGCCCTAGTCATCTACCACCACCTCTCAGCACACGGAGAAGGTACATGCTCAAAATATTTTCTTCCATGTTCCTCCGCTCTTCCCCCCGCATACCTCTCATCTTCTCCCATTTGTCCCCTCAGTGCGAGGACTGGAAAGGTGCCCTAGCCATCTACCACCACCTCTCAACACTCGGGGCTGCTGCAGCATCATTGTCCGCAGGAGCAGTAGCAACAGCACCTACATCAACATCAGCATCAGCATCAGCATTGGTATCATTGTCAGCAGCAGCAGCAGCAGCAGCTGCATCAACAACCGCAGCTTCATCAACAGCTGCTGTGTCAGAAGCAGCACTGTCACTTGCGCATCACCATCATCACCATCACCAGCAGCATGTAGAGCAGCGCATGCCAACGAGCAGCCAGTTCGCCCTGGTGTTGAGAGCATGTGCGCGAGCAGGCAGGTGGCAGCTTGCCAGAGACCTGCTGCTCGCTGCTGACCATGTCTTCGTTGCTGCCCTTGTCGGTGCTGCTGCTGCTGGTGGTTCTGCTGGTTCTGGTGTTGCTGTTGGTGTTGGTTCAGGTTCGGCTCGTTCTCGTTCTCGTTCTGGTTCTGGCTATTCCACTGGTGCTGTTGCCGCTGATGGTGCTGATGCTGCTGCCAGTGCCGTTTCTGGTTCTGGTCTTGGTGCTGCCGCTGTTGATGGCAGTGGTGGTGGTGGTGGTGCCGGTGATAATGGAGGTGCTGTTTCTCCTCCTCCCCCTCTTTCTTCACACCACCCTCCACTTGCCACCTCATCTGCTATGTTCACTGACGTCATCACAGCATGTGCCAGGTCAGCACAGCTAGCTCCAGCTCTCCGTCTGCTCGATCGCCTTGATTCTCACCCTTCCCCCGACCTCCATGCTGACGTGGCAGCCTACACTGCTGCCATCTCAGCGTGTGCGAGTGTTGGCCAATGGGAAAACGCCATTCGTCTGCTGACTAGGATGCAGCAGCAGCCAATCGGGAAAGAGGTGGGAAGGTTTGGGAAAGCCTCTTCCGTGCCTCCAGGTGTTGAGGCTCGGCCGAAGCTAGAGGTTCGGGGAAAGCAGGAGGTGCGTCGAAAGCCTGCAGTTCGGCCGAACGTGGTGACGTGGACGGCGGTGATGTCAGCATGTGCGATGGCAGGGCGTGCTGATGTGGCAAGGGAAGTTCTGAGAAGGATGATGCAAGAAGGGAAAGGGGAGGAAGGTCAGGGGAAAGGAGAGGGTGAGAGGAAAGGGGAGGGTGAGGGGAAGGAGGAGGAGAAGGTAGTGAATGGGCGAAGGAGAGAGAGGACAGAGGAGGAGAGACTGGGTATGACAGGTGCCACCTCAGCGTCTTGCTTGGATGCCATGTCAGACGCCACGTCAGATTGTCGTCCCAATGTGGTGACGTGGACAGTGGTGTTGACTGCATGTGCGCGGGCGGGGGAGTGGCAGCAGGCAGAAGCACTGTTCACCCAGATGCAGAAAAACGGAGTGACGCCAAACGAGGTCTCCTGGGCGGCATTGATCAGCGCTTATGCCAAGGGCGGGCAGTGGGAGAAAGCTATAGGCGCCCTGAGAGCTATTAGAGGGGGACAAGGTGGGGGGAAAGAGAGGGGGGGGAAGGAGGAGGAAAAAGGAGCAGCAGCAGCAGTAATAGCAGCAGCAACAGCGTTGGAACCACCTCATCCACCTCAATTATCGCCCCTCCCATCTGCATGGAATGCTGCACTGCACGCGTGTGCCAAGGCCGGCAAGTGGAAGCTTCTGGGAAGCCTCGTGTGGGAGATGCAGGAGGCTGGGTGTCCCCCCTCTGTGGTGACCTACGGGGTGCTGGTGGGGGGGTATGGGCGGGCGGGGCAGGCACGATTGGCGAGAGAAGGGTTTGAATCGATGCTGGCTGCAGGAATAAGGTGAGGATACAGGGCATATCATTCCTCTGGGGTGCCCCACCCTCTGTGCTGACCTGTGGGTTGCTGGTGGGGGTGTATGGGCGCGCGGGGCAGGCACGATTGGCGAGAGAAGCGCTTGATGCAATGCTGTCAGCAGGGATAAGGTGAGAAGCATGGGGATAGAAGGGGGCGCTGCCCCCCTCTCTGTTTGCCCTTCTTCTGTGGTGACCTATGGGGTGCTTGCTGGTGGGGGGGTATGGGCGGGCAGGACAAGCAAGGTTGGCAAGAGAAGGGTTTAATGCGATGTGATGTCGGCAGGGATAAGGTGAGACTGAAGGTGCTAGATGTGGTTTCTTCCCCCTCTTCTCCCCCACTCCCCCTTCCTTTCTTCTGTGGTGACCTATGGGGTGTTGATGGGGGGGTTACTTGGGCGCATGTGGCAGGCAAGCTTGCGAAAGGAGCGTTTGATGCGATCTGATCAAAGGAACGTTGGTATTATGGATATTCCTGTCCCTCACCTTTCCTTCCATCCTATACACACTCTTCCTTCCGTTCTACACCTGTCCTGTTTCTTGTTCTGCCTTTCTCCCATTTCCCTCCGTTTCTTGCCCATCTATTTTTTTCCTCTTGCTAAAGACCAAATGCAGTGGTGTGTGCTTCAATGGTGCGAGCGTACGCACGTGCCCGCCAGTTCGGGCAGGCCATGAAATTCTTCGAGGCAATGCCTGGACTCGGGGTGGTTCCTGACAAATACACCTACACAGCACTGCTCTGGGCTTGCGGTGCCTGCGGGCAGTGGCAGCGGGCAGAAGAAATATTTTCGAGGATGAAGCGTCAGGGGTGCGTGCCGGATGGTGTAACTTACAGAACATTGATAGAGAGCTATGAGATGAATGGAGAGTGGGATAAATCCATGGAGGTCTTAGAAGACATGAATTCTTTGTCTTCAAGAATGTTACAGCGGACACGCTATGGGCAGCGATAAAGGTATAATGATCCTCTGACCTGTCTAAAACTAATTGCCCTGACATATTCACCACCCAAATGTTTGAATTCAACCCGCAAATGTTTTACTTCAACCCGCAAATATTTAACTTCAACCCCAAGTGGTTGACTTCAACCCGTAAATCTTTGAATCCAATCAACGGAGCACGAGGAACTTCTCTCCGTTCACTAATTGAATTTTGCCCACCCTCTTTATGATCTCCTGGAATCTCTCCTTATCCTGCCAACAAGAAAGAGAAGGGGAACGAAACAACGCAACCTAAAAGGACGAAACAAGCCAGGGATGAGAGCGCTCATGGGCACAGTGGCGTGTGGTTCCTGCAGCAGGATTTCCATATTGACTTCTGAGTCAACTCAAAATGAGAACGGTCATGGTCACAGTGGCATGGCATGTAGACCCTGCAGCATGATTCCCCATGAAACGAGGTATCATACCTATGATGGATTACGTGTGCAGTCGCAAAGAGCGAAGCTAATTTGCATCTCTAGCACGGCTCGACTCACCTCGGCAGTCTCGAGGCATGATCGGAAGCGGTGTACCAGGTCGATACTCTTGATGGTACCCTGCCTCAAAACAGCCCTCACTGTCTCCGCTGTCTCTTGACTGAATCCAAAAGTCATAGCGGATACTTCACACGTCACACAACTCACCTCGCTGTCACTCATGCTGGTGGAAGGGCAGCAGTACGTGTTCTAAAGAAACGCTTTATCAAGTAAGAAAGAGAGTAAAATTTCCGTCGCTAAGAGAACTCTGATCTTTGGGAAGTGACAGCCAGGCCCGGACTGGGTCATTGAATTGAAACCAACCGACCGAGCCACTTCGGATGCCATATCCTTTTTTAGAAGCTTTTTGAGGTCCATTCGCGAGTCCAGGAAAGGGTCCGACCGAACTGACATGAATCCGAAAGGAAAGGCGATGATAAATCGGAACGCATCCGCAACACCTGGTCAGGTTCGATATCAGAGATATTGAAATAACTCTTACAGATTGATGTATACCATCTAAAAATCACTGAAATACAGTGATCCCTACAAAAACAAACTAATGTTCTGAATCCAACTAAATCAGTCCCTGAATTATTATGCTGCAGAGAATAGTAAAATTATGTGATTGTGCTAAATCGCACGTGTGCAATCCGCTGGCTTTTAGTGGTATGCTTATAATGAAGCAATATGTTTGGGAGGAACTGTCGTATCGATGCTGGATACAAATCCATTCTTTCACAGTACTGCATCTAGTCTGTGTTCCCCTCTGAATGTGCCCCCCATCAACTCAATCTGCAGCCCAAAGTCATCTCTATCACTGACTTGGGCACTTGGAGAATGCTTGCTGTGACCGCTAAAATTTCTCCAGCCATTCGCCTGCCAGTTGTCCAACCGTCCAAGTGCCCCCACCTCCTCCCAACCCTATCAGCCCAATCAGCCCAATCAACGGAGCACGATGAACTTCTCTCCGTTCACTGCTTGGATCTTGCCCACCCTCTTAATAATCTCCTGGAACCGCTTCTTATCCTGCCGCCAGCCACACAGATGGAAGAGGAAAGAAACGATGCCCGGCACGGGGACAGCGGCAGGACGCAATCTGGTTTTAAGGTGCCACCATGATAAGACAAGCCTGAATTGACCCACCCACCGCAATGCCCACCCCCCACTCCCGTGCCCACCCCCCACTCCCGTGCCCACCCCCCACTCCCGTGCCCACCCCCCACTCCCATGCCCACCCCCCACTCCCATGCCCACCCCCCACTCCCACGCCCACCCCCCACTCCCATGCCCACATTCCACTGCACACAGAATTCTGTCTGACCCATCGATCTCACGACTCACCTCGGCAGTCTTGAGGCATGCTCGGAAGCGGTTCGCCAAATCGGCACTCTTGATAGGAGCCTGCCTGCATTCTCTTCTGATTGGTCGCTAAACCCATATGTGAGCACTCCACCAGTGACAGACTCACCTCTGCAGTCTTGAGGCATGCTCGGAAGCGGTTCACCAGATCGGCACTCTTGATAGGAGCCTGCCTCAAAATCCCCTTCACCGCCTCCTCGGTTACCGCTGTCGGCTTCGGCCCTGCCGCTGCTGCCCCAGATGCACCTCCCCCTGGCTTCCCTGCTGCAGCCCCCCCTGCCCCTGGTTCCCGCTTCGCAGGCAGCGGAGGGGTTCGTTTCCCCAGTTCCACCTTCCCCTTCTTTGTCCCTGCTGCCGCTGCCCCAGATGCACCTCCCCCGGTTGCGCCCTTCTCCAGGTCCTTCCGCTTCAGCCCCCTCCCTGCTGCTGCCGCCGCTGCTGCAGCAGCAGCACTGAGCGCAGCAACAGCACCAGCAGCCACAGACGCCGCTGCTCCCCCCTCCCCCTTCCCCCTCCCGCCCCCTGCCCGCCCGCCGCTGCTCCAGCCCCCTTCCCCTTCTGGAAAATAGGAGAGAAGGCTATATCTAAATCCTCCTCGTCGTCCTCCCCATCCTCCTCTTCTCCCCCTCCTCCAACACCCCTCGCTCCCACCCCCTCCTCCCCTTCCACCCCGGCCTTATGCAGCAGCTTCTTTAGGGCTTTGCCTGAGAGGCTTAGGGCTCCCCCCTCCCCTTCCTCCTGTCCCTGACCCTCCTCTTCCTCCTCCTCTTCCTCTACCTCCTCCTGAACAGGTGGAGGAGAGGGGAGGGGGGGTGGGAGGAAGAGGGGGACGGAAGGAGGGGGAAGGAAGAGGGCGAAGGGAAGTGGGGCGAAAAGCAATTTGAGAAACCGCCTTCTAGACATGGGAAGAAAAGAGAGAGGAGAAGAGTGGGAATCAATCAAGGCATTCTCACCTCTTAAGCAGGGCTCCGCTCCTGCTCCTTCTCGTCCTCCTTGTCCTCTGGCTGCATCGCCGTCGCCCCACCAGCACACACACGCTCAGACACACAGACAACCCTAACCGTGCATCAAGCACTCTCTCTCTCTCTCTCACCTCTTTAGTCGGGCTCCGCTCCTGCTCCTTCTCGTCCTCCTTGTCCTCTGGCTGCATCACCGTCGCCTCGTCATCATACACACGCAGAGACACCCCTGCCCATCCATCAAGCTACTCTCACCTCTTCCGCCACGCAACCACGCACCCCCTCACCTCTTTAGCGGGGCTCCGCTCCTGCTCCTTCTCGTCCTCCTTGTCCTCTGGCTGCATCGCCGTTGCCTCGTCATCGTCTGAAAACAGCTCATCATGCTCCCAATCCTCGCCTGGAGGGCTCAACGGAGAGGTTCACAAGGAGTTAGTAAGGGTTCTTTAAGCGCCTAAGTTTACATCTGGAAACAGCTCGTCATGCTCCCAGTCTTCGCCTGGAGGGAGGTTGAGAGATGAAAAGGGGGAAGGAAAGGTATGCATTAAGAAAGGCGTTTTTCTAGATGCCCAAAGAAAGGTCTGAAAAGCAGCTCGTCATGTTTCCAGTCCTCGCCAGTAGGGAGCAAGGGAAGGGTGCGCATAAAGCGGTTCTTTTAGGCGCATGGAACATCGTTTGAAAACACCTCGTCATGATCCTAGCCGTCCATTTGAGGGAGGGGAAGAGGTGGGCGTGAGAGAGAAGGGCGTGAGAGAGAAGGGCGTGAGAGAGAAGGGCGTGAGAGAGAAGGGCGTGAGAGAGAAGAGCATGAGAGAGAAGGGTATGAGAGAGAAGGGCATGAGAGAGAAGGGTATGAGAGAGAAGGGCATGAGAGAGAAGGGCATGAGAGAGAAGGGCATGAGAGAGAAGGGCATGAGAGAGAAGGGCATGAGAGAGAAGGGCATGAGAGAGAAGGGCATGAGAGAGAAGGGCATGAGAGAGAAGGGCATGAGAGAGAAGGGCGTGAGAGAGAAGGGCATGAGAGAGAAGGGCGTGAGAGAGAAGGGCGTGAGAGAGAAGGGCGTGAGAGAGAAGGGCATGAGAGAGAAGGGCGTGAGAGAGAAGGGCGTGAGAGAGAAGGGCGTGAGAGAGAAGGGCGTGAGAGAGAAGGGCGTGAGAGAGAAGGGCGTGAGAGAGAAGGGCATGAGAGAGAAGGGCATGAGAGAGAAGGGCATGAGAGAGAAGGGCATGAGAGAGAAGGGCATGAGAGAGAAGGGCGTGAGAGAGAAGGGCATGCGAGAGAAGGGCATGAGAGAGAAGGGCGTGAGAGAGAAGGGCGTGAGAGAGAAGGGCATGAGAGAGAAGGGCATGAGAGAGAAGGGCATGAGAGAGAAGGGCATGAGAGAGAAGGGCATGAGAGAGAAGGGCGTGAGAGAGAAGGGCATGCGAGAGAAGGGCATGAGAGAGAAGGGCGTGAGAGAGAAGGGCGTGAGAGAGAAGGGCATGAGAGAGAAGGGCGTGAGAGAGAAGGGCGTGAGAGAGAAGGGCGTGAGAGAGAAGGGCATGAGAGAGAAGGGCGTGAGAGAGAAGGGCGTGAGAGAGAAGGGCATGAGAGAGAAGGGCGTGAGAGAGAAGGGCGTGAGAGAGAAGGGCGTGAGAGAGAAGGGCGTGAGAGAGAAGGGCATGAGAGAGAAGGGCGTGAGAGAGAAGGGCATGAGAGAGAAGGGCATGAGAGAGAAGGGCGTGAGAGAGAAGGGCATGAGAGAGAAGGGCATGAGAGAGAAGGGCGTGAGAGAGAAGGGCGTGAGAGAGAAGGGCGTGAGAGAGAAGGGCATGAGAGAGAAGGGCATGAGAGAGAAGGGCATGAGAGAGAAGGGCATGAGAGAGAAGGGCATGAGAGAGAAGGGCATGAGAGAGAAGGGCATGAGAGAGAAGGGCATGAGAGAGAAGGGCATGAGAGAGAAGGGCATGAGAGAGAAGGGCGTGAGAGAGAAGGGCGTGAGAGAGAAGGGCGTGAGAGAGAAGGGCGTGAGAGAGAAAAAGTGCTTTCTTGCACCGTCAAGAGGAGGAGAAGGGTGAGAACCAGCTCAAAGGTCACTCCAAATGAGCAACCCCTCACCTTTATCCCCATCCATCTCCAATTCAAACTCTTCCTTGGGCACCTCATCATCATCAACCCCTCATAACTCACAGCAATACTAGTACTACTATTACTGACAACACCCTCTCACCTTTATCCCCATCCATTTCCAGTTTAATCTCTTCCTTGGGCACCTCATCATCATCGTCATCATCCCCTCACAACTCACAGTAATACTCATAACACACCATCACTGACAACACCCCCTCACCTTTATCCCCATCCATCTCCAATTCAAACTCTTCCTTGGGCAAGTCATCATCATCCTCATCATCCCCGCCCTTCTTCCCCTTCCCTCTCTTCCTCCCCTCCCCGTCCTCCATATCTCCCCCCATCCCTTCATCATCTGATCCTAACCCATCTTCCAACCCTCCCTTCTTCCTCCCTCCTCCCCTCCCCCCACCGCCCCCTTCCTTCCCTCCTCCTGCGAGAAGCTTCTCGGATTCTTCCTTGGTGAGCCACCGTCGAAACCCGTCAGCCTTACGCCGCTTTGACTGCATGCATAGCTCGGCCTCTTCTAGGGTTAGCGTCTTGTACTGGGCTTGCTTTGCAAAGGCATACCTGGGAGGAGGGGAATTGTGACGGGATGGGGGAATGGGGAGTTAGAACAAAGGGGGTTATTGAGTGGCTTTCGAGACTGCATGCATAGCTCGGCCTGTTCTGGGGTCAGCGTCTTGTACTGGGCTTGCTTTGCAAAGGCATACCTGGGAGGAGGAAGAGTGGGGATGGCACAGGAATGGAGGAGAGTTTGAAGGAAGGGGTAATGAATGGGTTAGAATCTGCATGCACATCTCTGCTTCTTCTAGAATTATCGTCTTGTGCTGGTCTTGATTCGTAAAGGCGAACTTGGGAGGAGGAAAGGTGGGGATGGGATGGGATTGCGGCATGGGAGACGGGATGGGATGGGGAGTAAGAACAACAGGGGCTCAGTTACCACACCACAACACACCACACCACACCACATTACACCGCACCGCACCACACCGCGCGAAAACGCACCGCACAACACCGCACTGCACCACACCTCACCACTGGCTAGCGGGGATGGCGACAAACTCCTTGCCGTGCATGACGAGCAGGTAATACGCCGAATGCTGCCACCCACCCTCCATGTGCCCCACATACGACGCCTGGCCCGTGTCGTCCTCTAGTATCAGCGGCCGCGTGCGCGCCTTGGCCTGTAGTGGGCATGGGGTGGTGGTCAGGGCAGCATGGCAGGGCAGCATGACGGGGAGAGACAGCAGCAGCAGTGAGCACATCACAACTGGCCCGTGTCGTCCTCTAGTAACAGCGGCCGCGTGCACACTTTGGCCTGTAGTGAAACGCATGGGGTGATGGGTATAGCGGCATGGGGGGTGCATAGGATGATCGGCATGGGGATGGGGGGTGCATGGTAGCGCAACACAACAAGCCTGGCCTGCACAGCTTGGCCTGTAGTGGCATGTGAGGCGGGGTTATGGTGATGGTGTGGCATGTGGTAGCATGGAAGCAGGTGTGGGGCCTTCGCCCCCCCCCCCCCCCCCCCCCCCCCTCCCTCACACCCACCGCTCCCGAACTCTCGCTTGTCCCTTCGCCTTCCTTGAACAATGGGAAGCGGAGAGGTGAAAGGGAGGTTGGGCAGGTGGTTGGCAGCGGTTTCAAGAGAATATGACGAAACTTAAAACGGAAGGGTGGAAAGAAACGACAAAAGGAGCCACCTGCTCACCCGCGCAGCCTCGGACAGAACTTTCCCGGAAGGTACCCCTTCTCGTTTCATTGTCCACCCTCTCTCGTCGCCTTTTTTCAGCCCGGGCAGCCCCTGCGGAAATTTCCCGATAAAATAGTCTCTGCTGACCGGCTTAACGCGGACTAGGAATTCTTTAACTAGCTTATCCACAACCGCGCCGCACTGCTGACACGTGGCCTGCTTCTCAGCCATGCTTCGTCCGCACGCGTTACAGAGCGACATGTGTCCGCACTCGCTCTGCGAAAGGTCTCCCCCCGCAGCTCCGCACCCGCTGCACGCGGCTGGCGGAAGCGCCTTCTTCGCGGAGGCGGAAGCGGAAGCGCTTCCCCCAGCTCCCCCCGCCGGGGCTCCGCCTGCTGCTACACCCCCCGGTTCCTGCTTAACAGGCGGTTTGGAGGCGCCTGGTTGGGATAATGATTGCGCCGGCCGCTGCTGCGGGTTTTGCGGCGGCTGTTGCGGCCGGCCTGCTGTTGGGTACGACGCCATGAGCTGCTGATGCTGCCGGCGAAGCTAAGAAGCGATTTCTGAGTCGACTAAAGAGACGATCGAACAATTATGTCACAGATGTAGGAATTGAATGTGCTGATTAGTCGAGGATTGTTAGAGAACCGTGGTTTACGCGGCCTAGGATGGTCGATTCGCTCGCGACAATCTAACGGACCAACTTACAAAATGTATTTTCGAAGTATGCCAGTTTGGGAAAAGCGTGTGGAGGGGATGGTTTTTGCAGGAGCAGAGCCGACTCGTTTCCCGAGATTATCACCCTTGAGATTGGCATTCGCTTTAAGGAAAGCATCGCGTTAGTGAATAGGAGAGAAGAGTTTAGAAGCTAACTCCAGATATAAGATAGCCAACTGTACCTTTTTCTTTAAAGCTAGTGATCCATCTAGAAAGCTATCACAGAGGTGATGATGGGTCCTGAACCAGTGCATTTGCTCAACTGGTGGCAACTAGCTAGTATTTGGACAGCATACGGATGGCCGATCCGACGGTGGGGAACGCTTCGTGCACATCCAAGAGATCGTGGTAATCCGAGCCATCGGTTGCCCCCACAAAGAGCCACTTGGATATCCTCGATATAAACTCCTCCAGTGTGGGCGATAAGATGGCCTCCCAGTCCACCTGAACGTCTGGAGGAGGCTTGGCAGTAATTTCCTTGCCAGCCGCAAGGAAGAGTCCGAGCAGGCTGGAATAGCCCGCCATGGCAGAGCCCCGACTGAGCGGGGAGAAGTTGTACCTGATAGTGGGGGGAGGGGAGATGGGCATGGGAAAGGTGGGAGGTGAGATGGTGGCTTGGCGGTGATCTCCTTGCCGGCCGCCAGGAAGAGGCCGAGAAGGCTGGAATAGCCGGCCATGGCGGATCCCCTAGAGAGCAGGGAGAAGTTGTACCTGATGGTGGGGTGTGGGAGGTGGGAAAGGTGTTGGAGCAGGTCGTGGGCGGTGGGAAGGGTTTGAGACATGTTCATCTCAGAGGAAAAGGCCGAGCAGGCTGGAGTAGCCAGCCATGGCAGATCCCCGAGGCAGTGGGGAGAAGTTGTGCCTCCCAGTGAGTGGCGGGGGTGGGGGAAAGGCGTTAGAAAAGGTGGTGGGAGGTGCGGGTCGGCAGTGAGTAGGGAGGGAGGTGGGAGAGGGGTGTTCCTTGAGGTGTCTCAGAGGCCAGGTAGGCTGGAACAAATGCAAATAACATCCACCAGCATACGGATAGACGTGTTGCATGAATGGGAGCAGTCTGGGGGAGGGAGCAGCTAAGCAGCTCAGGAGTACCCACCAGTAGTACACGACTCGCAAAATGGCAGTCTTCACCAGCTTGTCATCCTTGCTGCTGCTTGTAAGGGGGCAGCCCAGGGGTTATCTACCAGCCTAGGGGTTACCTACCAGCCTAGGGGTTATCTACCAGCCTAGGGGTTATCTACCAGCCTAGGGGTTACCTACCAGCCTAGGGGTTACCTACCAGCCTAGGGGATTGACATGTGCTGCATGGAAAGGGGCAGCCTAGGGGGTACCCACCAGTAGTAGACGACACGCAGAATGGCAGTCTTCACCAGCTTGTCGTCCTTGCTCTTCTTGGCGTCTGCCATCACCTCACACAGGTTCTGTTGGGTGAATGAAGCGGCCGGAGAAGCAGAGGGAAGGGGGACAGGAAGAGAGGGGGGAAGGAAGCAGAGCGGAATGAATACGAGGGGGCAACAGAGCAGCTGCTGACATCCTTTTCTCACAAACTGTCATCCTTGCAGCCCTTGCCATCACCTCACATAGGTTCTGTTATTGCCTTGTCATGATTTCAACTAAGCTGTTGTTGCAGCTGTTACCAAACTATGTGGTTACGTTACAGTTATCACATTACGCCCTCAGGTGTTACAAGGTTACACTGCTGTTACCACGTTATACCCTCACCTGCCACATAGTTCCATTGGTGTTACCACGTCCTGCCCTCTCACCTTCTACACAGCAGTGAGCCCAGCATCATACTCCTTCCATCAAGGGGGGCGCCAGGGGCAAACTAATAGAAACGCTGTTGTTACCACACTTGATGATTACGTTGCTGCTGTTACCACCTTACGCTGCTGTTCAACGCTACGCTCTCACCGTCCATGCTGCAGTAAGTTCAGCATCGTACTCCTTCCACCGGAGGGGCATCAGGTGCATGTTACCATGTCACACTGCGGTTACCACGTTACGTTGCTGTAAGCACAGCCTCACCTTCCATGCCGCAGTGAGCTCAGCATCATACTCCTTCCACCGGGGGGGCGTGAGGGGCATCTTGATGGCAAAGTCAAACGCGCCATCGCCCCTGCGCAATGCATTAATGTAGCAAGAGCCAGCATTGGAAGGGGAGTGGCGAACAAAAGTGGTTGAAAATAACCTCTTTCAGGTTGAGAGGGGATATGTGCTGAGAAAGAGATCCGCTGAGAGGGGAAAGAAATCCGCTGTGAGAATTTGACTGAATTGGTTACTGAGCACTCCAACAAACAGACATTCTCTAGCGGGAAATCTCCTGGCACCTTGCCTTTCAGCCAGGGAGATTCTGTTGAGGACGAGAGCTGTGTGAGGATCTGCGCACCTAGTGAAGCAAGAAAGGGGGTATCGGGCCTTACATCTTTCTGATGGCAAGGGTAGTCCCGTTGAGCATGTAGCTGCGGAACGAGAGAGGGAACAGGGAGGGAGGGTAAGTGAGGGGCACATAGAGAGAGGGGGAGACAGATAGGGACAACTGGGTAGGGGGAAGGAAGCGAGGGGAAGAGGGGACGAAGAGAAGCTACCAGGAAAAGGTGAATGAGGGGAGTGGAGTGAGCGGGTGAGAAAAGGAAGAGGCAGCAAAGATAGAAGAGGGGATAAGCACCATGAACAGACGGAAACTGCGGAAGGGGGTTGGGTTACAGCAGCGCACGTGCGAAATGGCAGAAGTAATGGGCAGATGAACGCGGAAAGTGGGGAAATGTAGTGAATGCGTTGGAGTGAGTAAGGAGTGGTGAGGAGTGGGGGACAATGAACTCACTCAGGCTTCGCTGTGGAGAAGCAGGGCACGGTGATGAGGAAGTTCTGCCCCACCACGTTCCACAGCTCCTCGGGTGTCTCTGCCGCCTCCACCTGCAGGGGCCACACAGGGGAGAGAAAGAAGAGATGGACGTGAGAGAAAGGATGGGACAGAGGCACGGTGATGAGGAAGTTCTGCCCCACCACGTTCCACAGCTCCTCGGGTGTCTCTGCCGCCTCCACCTGCAGGGGCCACACAGGGGAGAGAAAGAAGAGATGGACGAGAGGGAAAGGATGGGACAGAGGCACGGTGATGAGGAAGTTCTGCCCCACCACGTTCCACAGCTCCTCGGGTGTCTCTGCCGCCTCCACCTGCAGGGGCCACACAGGGGAGAGAAAGAAGAGATGGACGAGAGGGAAAGGATGGGACAGAGGCACGGTGATGAGGAAGTTCTGCCCCACCACGTTCCACAGCTCCTCGGGTGTCTCTGCCGCCTCCACCTGCATGGTGCATACAGTGGTGGAAAGATGTAAGAGATGGGAGAGAGGGGAGAGAGGGATTACGGTAGCAGAAGAGGGACAGGGGTACGGTGACAACGATGCGTTTCTCTGCCCAGCCACGTTCCACAGCTGTTGTGCTCGTTACCTCGCCCCCTCATTTCTGCAACCTCAACATTCACACAAAAGCTGCCCCCTGTACATCAGCAACCCCCCCTTCTCACCTCAGCATCCATCTCAACCGGGATCTCGTATTTCTGTGTCAGGTCACCAATCTCCACTGCTCCCTGCTCCAACATCTCGTCCCTGATCAGTGCAAAGGCCCTGCAGTGGGGCAAGGAAGGGGAAATGAGGAAGACGGGCGTGAGGGTTGGGTTGCCTAATCACCGATCTCCACTGCCCCCTGCTCCAACATCTCGTCCCTGATCAGTGCAAAGGCCCTGATGGCGAAGGGATGTGAGGGAGGAGTGGAGAGGCGGGTGAGATGATGGGAGCGTGTGGCATGCTAAGGGTGGAATGTCGATTTTTGAGTCGACTCAAAAATCGACTAACTACGTGTGGCATGCGAAGGGTGGAATGACGGCGACATGAAGAAAAGGAGGTGTAAGGGAAGAGAGGAATTAAACAGGGCTACCCAGCCGTTTTCTCATACACCCACCTGTCGTAGTTGGCTTAGTAACGGATGTTCTTGGAGTGCCCCTGCACCGTTAATGCTATGTGCACTGCCAACACTGCACCATTCCTGTTAGTGCAGTCAAGACTGCTGCTTATCCATAATCCAACCCACCCACCTGTCGTAGTTGGCATAGTAGCGGAGGTTCTTCGAGTGCCCCTGCACCATCGCCGTCACGGCGCCAAAGCCCTTTTCAAACTCCTCCTGGCTGCGAGCAGCAGATGAGAAGCACGAGAACAGCATGTGGGAAGAAGCACAGAGAGAGACATAGGAAGAGCTCTGTAGTGGGCCTTTTGAGGCGCCTCAAAAATGGTGTGTGGGGGCCTTGGCTAGCAGGTAAACAACTCCTTGCTGCGAGAAGCATGTGGAAAGCGGATGAGATACAGCTCCTCCACCCACCCACCATGAATCCTCCCCCCTGCTAACCTTCATAGGTCCATCATGAACCGCATATCACCATCACCGAACCCAGAGCACCGACGCCAACCGCACAGCACCATCACCAACTGCATAGCATCATGACCAGCCGCACAGCACCTTCACCAAGCGCACAGCAGCACTCAACGTGAGCTGGTCGACCTACACGATGGGGTCACAGGGCTCCGAGAGCAGCGGTCAGCGCACCGCAATGGAGTACAGGTCCCTCCACCGGCCCACCGTCACCCCCGCCGCCTCCTATTCTTCATTTCATAGCACCATCATCAACCACATTGCACCTCTACCAACCGCACAGCACCAAGACCAAGCGCACAGCACCATCACCAACCGCACAGCACCGCACAACCGCACTCACGTGAGCTGGTCGACCCACACGATGGGGTCACAGGGCTCTGACAGCAGCCGCCAGCGCACCGCAATGGAGTATAGGTCCCTCCACCCGCCCACCGTCGCCCCCGCCTCACCCTATCCTTCATAGCACCATAGTACCTTCACCAACCGCACAGCACCATCACCAACCGCACAGCACCGCACAACAGCACTCACGTGAGCTGGTCGACCCACACGATGGGGTCACAGGGTTCTGACAGCAGCCGCCAGCGCACCGCAATGGAGTACAGGTCCCTCCACCCTCCCACCGTCACCCCCGCCTCCTCCTCGTCCTCATCCTCATCCTCCTCATCGTCATCGTAATCGTCGTAGTGGTCGCTCCGCCTGCTGCTGGTTCCCTTGCTGCTGCTGCCCTTGCCCTGCTGCTTGCTCGCTGCTGCTGCCTGCTCTCTCCACGTGGCGCGTGCTGCCTGCATCATCTCCAGCGCTGCCATCCCTGCTGCGCGATGCTGTTGATTTTGGATGGGGGAAGGAGAACGAGAGTAGGAGGGAGTAACCTTCAGGCACTACATGACCTAAGGCTCCCTCCATGTGGCGCGTGCTGCCTGCATCATCTCCAGCGCTGCCATGCCTGCTGCGCGGTGCTGGTTTGTATAAACCGGTAGGGAAGGGCGGGGAAGGGCGAGGAAGAAGACATGAGAAGAGGCTAGAACATTTCATGTGCAGCGGCTGTGTCACTCCCAATGCTGCCATGCCAAGTCACCATGATGACATTTCTCTCGTTGAGCAAACGCCAAGCCTACCTGGCTCTGATTGGACAGACACCGAGCCTACTCTGGGCAAAAGCCGAGCCTACCTGCCTCTGGTTGGGCAGGAAGCCGGGGGAAGTGTACTGAGTGCGGCCACCAACGGTGTCTGCAGCCTTGACAAGCTCCTTCCTTCCCCGCTTCACCTGCTCACTCATGTGCCTGATGTGGCATGATGTATGGTGCATGATGGTGCATAATTTGATGTGATGCATGGTGTGCGCATAGATGGGACCATAATGCATGATGTATGGCACGTGCAGGTGGTATACCGTGTACCACGCATATCATATGTGTGTTTGTGTGTCATGCGAGCTTGCACACGTGCACCAACACTTGCTCACTTGAATCTCATTCGGTTATCCAATGCCCTTCGGTACGGTTGCAAGGGGTCGGGCGGGAAGAGGCGCCCTGCTGCGCATACCTCTTACGTCCTGCTCTTACACATCCCCCTCTCACACATCCCCCTCTCACACATCCCCCTGTCCCATGTCATATCCCATATCTCATCCCCCCTCTCGTTCAATCTGGTTGTCGAATGCCGCCCGGTATGGTTGCGGGCGGTAGGCTGGGAAGGGGAGCCTTGATGTGCGAGGTACGCAAATCAAGGCACGGGAGACTTAACTTGATGTGCGTACCTCTCACATCCCACTCTTTCAATCCAAGTCTCCCGTGCCCTCTCTCACTCACTTCTCTGGTTTCAACTGGTTGTCGAATGCCGCCCGGTATGGTTGCGGGCGGTAGGCTGGGAAGAGGTCGGTGGGTACGGATCGGCGGGCCCATGCTTGCTGCGAGGGGCAGTGAAGGAGGACGAGCATATGACAGAAAGGGTATGAAGAGGAGGAAGAAGAGGAATAGGGCGAAGAGGAATAGGGCGAAGAGGAATAGGGCGAAGAGGAATAGGGCGAAGAGGAATAGGGCGAAGAGGAATAGGGCGAAGAGGTTGGCTGGTGGGCACGGCTTGGCGCACCCATGCTTGTTATTAGGGGCAGTGGAGGTGGAAGAGCGGGAGGCGAGGAGGAAAAAATATAAGAAGAACAAGAATGAGAAGTATAAGAACCAGTGGATATAGCCTCCCTGAGCCCATGCTTGCTGCTCAGGGCTAAACCCGAAACCTTGCGTCAATGACCTTCGCTTCGTGCCCCAATCCCCACCTCACCTCACCTTTTGGCAAGATGAGGCATGAAGCGTACCTTGAACTCGGGCCCAAAGTTGTGTGCAAGTCAAATAGCATATAGATTGACTCTGTTGCTCTGCTTCTGCCAAGATGAGGCATGAAGCGTACCTTGAACTCGGGCCCAAAGTTGTGTGTAAGTCAAACAGCATATAGATTGACTGTGTTACTCTGCTTCTGCCAAGCTGAGACGCGATGCGTACCTTGAACTCGGGCCCAAAGTTGTCTTCGAAGTCAAAGTCGCGGAGGGGCCTGTTGAGGCGAGACGCTGTGAACTGCGCCACCTCCCTCTGTGCGTGGGGAGTGGTTGGTGAGAGGGAGAGGGTGGGAGAGAGTGATAGATGCATGGAGAGGGTGAGGGGGGCGGAGAGGCTTGTTGAGGCGAGACGCTGTGAACTGCGCCACCTCCCTCTGTGCATGAGAGCGACAGGGTGTGAGGGAGAGGGCAGGAGGAAGAGTGATAGATGCGCGGAAAGGGTGAGGGAGACAGGGGTGAGAGACTGTGATAGGGTGAAAGAGGGTGCTTGTTGGATAGGAAGTTCAGAGGTTCAGGGCTTTGGGTTTGAGCCTTCTGAGAAGGGAAGTTGCGTGGTAGAAGAGGCTTTGGGAGTACGCCTGCCGAGAGGGACTCACCTGGCAGAATGACATGAAGAGCAAGGGCTGCTCCTCCTGCCGCGTGGGCTTGGCCACCTTTTAGTGGACACAAAGAATCACACAGGCTTATTGCTGGGGGAGAGGCGCTCACCTTGGTGGCACAAGGTTAGGGGTTTTACCTGGTAGAATGCCATGAAGAGCAACGGTTGCTCCTCCTGCCGTGTGGGCTTGGACAACACACCATCGTATGTTGTCACCTGGTGGTGCGAGGGGCGGGAAGGAGGTGGGAACGGCGGGGCGGAAGGAGGGAAAGCCGGAACGTAATTTTCATACACCAATGAGAGCATCACATGCAGCATGTATCATCTCTCCACCAACTCGCCGCGTCCTGGAGCTGCCCAAGGGCATCTCTTGATGTAGTGCCCCTTTACATACCAGGGTCTGGCGTTGGTCCAGGCGCGCGCGATGGTCCGGGCGCGCGCGTTGGTCCGGGCGCGCGCGTTGGTCCGGGCGCGCGCGTTGGTCCGGGCACGCGCGTTGGTCCGGGGGCGCGCGTTGGTCCGGGGGCGCGCGTTGGTCCGGGGGCGCGCGTTGGTCCGGGCGCGCGCGTTGGTCCGGGCGCGCGCGTTGGTCCGGGCGCGCGCGTTGGTCCGGGCGCGCGCGTTGGTCCGGGCGCGCGCGTTGGTCCGGGCGCGCGCGTTGGTCCGGGCGCGCGCGTTGGTCCGGGCGCGCGCGTTGGTCCGGGCGCGCGCGTTGGTCCGGGCGCGCGCGTTGGTCCGGGGGCGCACGTTGGTCCGGGGGCGCGCGTTGGTCCGGGGGCGCGCGTTGGTCCGGGGGCGCGCGTTGGTCCGGGGGCGCGCGTTGGTCCGGAGGCGCACGTTGGTCCGGGCGCGCGCGTTGGTCCGGGCGCGCGCGTTGGTCCGGGCGCGCGCGTTGGTCCGGGCGCGCGCGTTGGTCCGGGCGCGCGCGTTGGTCCGGGCGCGCGCGTTGGTCCGGGGGCGCGCGTTGGTCCGGGCGCGCGCGTTGGTCCGGGCGCGCGCGTTGGTCCGGGCGCGCGCGTTGGTCCGGGCGCGCGCGTTGGTCCGGGGGCGCGCGTTGGTCCGGGGGCGCGCGTTGGTCCGGGGGCGCGCGTTGGTCCGGGCGCGCGCGTTGGTCCGGGCGCGCGCGTTGGTCCGGGCGCGCGCGTTGGTCCGGGCGCGCGCGTTGGTCCGGGCGCGCGCGTTGGTCCGGGCGCGCGCGTTGGTCCGGGCGCGCGCGTTGGTCCGGGGCGCGCGTTGGTCCGGGCGCGCGCGTTGGTCCGGGCGCGCGCGTTGGTTCGGGGGCGCGCGTTGGTCCGGGCGCGCGCGTTGGTCCGGGCGCGCGCGTTGGTCCGGGCGCGCACGTTGGTCCGGGGGCGCGCGTTGGTCCGAGGGCGCGCGTTGGTCCGGGGGCGCGCGTTGGTCCGGAGGCGCGCGTTGGTCCGGGCGCGCGCGTTGGTCCGGGGCGCGCGTTGGTCCGGGCGCGCGCGTTGGTCCGGGCGCGCGCGTTGGTTCGGGGGCGCGCGTTGGTCCGGGCGCGCCCGTTGGTCCGGGCGCGCGCGTTGGTCCGGGGGCGCGCGTTGGTCCGGGGGCGCGCGTTGGTCCGGGGGCGCGCGTTGGTCCGGGCGGGCGCGTTGGTCCGGGCGCGCGCGTTGGTCCGGGCGCGCGCGTTGGTCCAAGCGCGCGCGTTGGTCCGGGCGCGCGCGTTGGTCCAGGCGCGCGCGTTGGTCCGGGCGCGCGCGTTGGTCCGGGCGCGCGCGTTGGTCAGGGGGCGCGCGTTGGTCCGGGGGCGCGCGTTGGTCCGGGGGCGCGCGTTGGTCCGGGCGCGCGCGTTGGTCCGGGCGCGCGCGTTGGTCCGGGCGCGCGCGTTGGTCCGGGCGCGCGCCTTGGTCCAGGCGCGTGCGATGGTCCAGACGCGCGCGTGTTAGTCCAGGCGCGCGCAATGGTCCAGGCGCGCACGTTGGTCCAGGCGCGCGCGTTGGTCCAAGCACGAGCATCATATGCAGGCACGCCTGTTGGTCCTGGGTCACGAGCATCATATGCAGCATGCTGGGGCAGCAGGGTCACGAGCATCATATGCAGCATGCATATTTTTTCTGCGCTACTCACCGCGTCTTGCAGCTGCCCCAATGCAAGATGGCACGACCCCTTGATGTAATGCCCCTCCACGTTCACAGGTTCAGAGTTTAGGGTTTCAAGTTTGGGGTTTAAAGCACATCCAGCATGCTTCCACTCACCGCGTCCTGCAGCTGCCCCAGCGCATGGTGGCACGACCCCTTGATGTAGTGTCCCTCCACATTCTCCGGCTCAAGCTGCATTGCCACCCGCACCAGTTCCAGTGCATGCCTGTGTGAGGCGTGGTGAGGGGGGGGGGGGAGGGGAGCCACCTTCTAGATTCTCCTCTGGCTCAACCTGCATTGCCGCCCGCACCAACTCAAGGGAATTCCGCGACGTGAGCTCACAGGCACTCAAATACGCAGCATCTCAGACCCTAAACCCTGCTGCAGTGCTACATTAGGTATGGGGACACATGCACGGACTCACTTGTGGTCGCCCATTGCGTGCTTGAGTAGCGCCCACACGCGGTACGCTTGGGCGAACCTGGGATGGGGTTGGGTATGGGGTCATGAGGCACGGAGGCAGTGGTTGAAGCAGTGGGGTATGGAGGCATGGAGGCATGGAGGCATGGAGGCATGGAGGCAAGGATGGAATTCAGGAGGCATGAAGGCATGGAGGAGGCACAGGTTATGGCAACGAGAGAAACTATGAATCGCAGGTGCCCTCGCTCGCTTTGCCTGGTCACGATCCTTTCGACAAACTCATGCCATGCCATGCGACAGTCACGGTCTGTCTTGTGTCGCACTCACCTGGGTTCCAATTGTGTCGCCTTCCTGTAGGCCTGCTCGGTTTTATCAGGCATGGCGAGCTCTTTGGCGTCCTGCCCCATGTACAGCCACGCCATCCATGCCATTGCTGCACTGCTCCCATGCCATTCAAAGGCCCCTCTAAACCGATTCCAACCCCACATGCACCGCACTCACCTGGGCTCCAATTGGGTGGCCTTCCTGTACGCCTGTCAGGCATGGCGAGCTCCTTAGCTGCCTGTCCCATGTACAGCCACACCATCCTGTTGCCCGGGTTGGCTGCCTCAACCCTCAAGGCGCCTGGACTGGGTACGCTATTCTAGGTTGTTTAAGTTGTGCCCCGATGCTCACCTGGGCTCAAGCTGTGTCGACTTTCTGTAGGCCTGTTCAGCCCTGTCAGGCATGGCCAGCTCCTTAACTGCCTGCCCCATGTACAGCCACGCCATCCATGCCATTAAAAAATACCTCTAAAACGACCCCAACCTCACTTCACCGCACTCACCTCGGCTCCAATTGGGTTGCCTTGCGGTATGCCTGCTCGGCCCTGTCAGGCATGGCGAGCTCCTTGGCTGCCTGTCCCATGTACAGCCACGCCATCTTGTTGCCGGGGTTTGCATCCACCACCTTCTCGTATATCTCCATCGCCTCCTCTGTCTCTCCCAGCCCCACCAGGGACTCTGCCTGCAAGGAGTGGGTACAAAGCGGTGCGGAGGGGTGGGACAGAGTGCATGTGGATTCTGTCTCCTTGCATTGCCGAAACAACCCTCTCGTAGATCTCCATCGCCTCCTCTGCTTCTCCCAGCCCCACCAGGGACTCTGCCTGCAGTGTGTGTAAGGAATGTGCACACAGAAGGGGGACGAGGGGAGGAGTGAATGTGTGCACAAAGCGGAAGGAGGGCGAGACAGAGAGTTGGTTTGGAATTTCCTTGTGTTGCCAGAGTGAGTTGCAGCCACAACCCCCTCGAAACTCTCCATTGCCCCAACCTCGCCTAGCCTCACCAAGGGTTCCGCCCTTCAAGGAACACAGCACCAGCCAACGCAGCACCCACCAACCCACTCACCAGAGCAACGTGCGCCAGCTCCTTCTTGGGCATCACGGCCACCACCGCCCTCAACTCCTTCCTTTGCTGCTTCGTACAAGGCAGGTTATTCACTCTCAGCAGTGCAACAGGCACAGTTGAAGCGTGCACTTCACTTCACCTCAACACTTCCGATCACACTTACCAAAGCGACACGTGCAAGTTTCTCCTTAAGCAGCACCTCACGGACACCACTGCCCTCAGGGCGGCTGCCTTGTAGACGGCAAAGCAACAGCCACCAGTGCAGCACCGTACAGTGCAGCCGGCATCCTTATTTTAGTTCAGAGTGTGCAATTTCCACATTCATCCATGACTTGTGCTCACACTTACCAGGGCAACGTGAGCCATCTCCTCCTTGGGCATCACAGCCACCACCGCCCTCAGGTCCTTGGCTGCTTCGTAGAATCGCCGTGCCCTGGCGTACACCATGCCTGGTGGGTGGTGGAGGGCGGAGGCAGAGAGGAAACCGAGTATTGGGACTTGTCATACGTGATTGCCTTGTAGAAGGGTCGTGCTCTTACATTCACAGGTGATGGTAGGCTAGGCAGAGAGGCAGAGAGCAACGATGACTAGGAAACTAGAGAAGAAAATGTTGCCATGCAACAGTCACAAGGACAAGCCATTTCCACACCCCCCTTCCCTGCCCCACAGCTCACCACTTTCTCCCCTTGTCTCCTCACCTCGCTCCATGAGCAGGACGGCCCGTCCCCTGCCCATCACCCACTCCATCCCTCCTCCTTCAACTCACCTCGCTCCATCAGCAGGTCCATCTGCCCCTTCTCCAGGCTGAGTGCTGTGGTGAAGTCCTCTATGGCCTGATGGCGTGAAGGGTGGGTAGAGAAAGAGAGGCATGACGGTTGGTAATAGGGGCATGGTGCTTTGTAAGTTCTCACAGACACTTAGCAGGTGCATCTGCCCCTTCTCCAGGCTGAGTGCTGTGGTGATGTCCTCGATGGCCTGAGAGGAGCGCAGGACAGGGTGGCGTGAAGGGTGGGGAAAGAGGGATGAAGGGTGGTGGTATGTGAGGGAGGGATGAAGGGTGGTGGTATGTGAGGGAGGGATGAAGGGTGGTGGTATGTGAGGGAGGGATGAAGGGTGGTGGTATGTGAGGGAGGGATGAAGGGTGGTGGTATGTGAGGGAGGGATGAAGGGTGGTGGTATGTGAGGGAGGGATGAAGGGTGGTGGTATGTGAGGGAGGGATGAAGGGTGGTGGTATGTGAGGGAGGGATGAAGGGTGGTGGTATGTGAGGGAGGGATGAAGGGTGGTGGTATGTGAGGGAGGGATGAAGGGTGGTGGTATGTGAGGGAGGGATGAAGGGTGGTGGTATGTGAGGGAGGGATGAAGGGTGGTGGTATGTGAGGGAGGGATGAAGGGTGGTGGTATGTGAGGGAGGGATGAAGGGTGGTGGTATGTGAGGGAGGGATGAAGGGTGGTGGTATGTGAGGGAGGGATGAAGGGTGGTGGTATGTGAGGGAGGGATGAAGGGTGGTGGTATGTGAGGGAGGGATGAAGGGTGGTGGTATGTGAGGGAGGGATGAAGGGTGGTGGTATGTGAGGGAGGGATGAAGGGTGGTGGTATGTGAGGGAGGGATGAAGGGTGGTGGTATGTGAGGGAGGGATGAAGGGTGGTGGTATGTGAGGGAGGGATGAAGGGTGGTGGTATGTGAGGGAGGGATGAAGGGTGGTGGTATGTGAGGGGGGTGGTGGTGGGGAGGGATGAAGGGTGGTGGTATGTGAGGGAGGGATGAAGGGTGGGGGGTGAGGTGTGAAGGTTGGGAAGCAAGGCATGAAACGAGATGCAACGATGGGTTGGAAGGAAGGGGGCAGGTATGAGGGACACAATGAAACCCAAAGTTGACGTCCACGGTGGCACCTTGCATCACACTTTAAACCCGAAAGCTAAGTGTAGAGAGGGTGTTTTTGAGACGTCTCAAAAACACCCTCTCTAAACCCGAAACCCGATGTACCCAAAACTGCAAATCCCAGCAACAACTCACTCCAATTCTCCAAAACCAGACATCATGAATCACCCTATCCCCAGAATCACCCTAGCCCCAGAATCACCCTAGCCCCAGAATCACCCTAGCCCCAGAATCACCCTAGCCCCAGAATCACCCTAGCCCCAGAATCACCCTAGCCCCAGAATCACCCTAGCCCCAGAATCACCCTAGCCCCAGAATCACCCTAGCCCCAGAATCACCCTAGCCCCAGAATCACCCTAGCCCCAGAATCACCCTAGCCCCAGAATCACCCTAGCCCCAGAATCACCCTAGCCCCAGAATCACCCTAGCCCCAGAATCACCCTAGCCCCAGAATCACCCTATCCCCAGAATCACCCTAGCCCCAGAATCACCCTAGCCCCAGAATCACCCTAGCCCCAGAATCACCCTAGCCCCAGAATCACACTATCCCCAGAATCACCCTAGCCCCAGAATCACCCTAGCCCCAGAATCACCCTAGCCCCAGAATCACCCTAGCCCCAGAATCACCCTAGCCCCAGAATCACCCTAGCCCCAGAATCACCCTAGCCCCAGAATCACCCTATCCTCAGAATCACCCTAGCCCCAGAATCACCCTAGCCCCAGAATCACCCTATCCCCAGAATCACCCTAGCCCCAGAATCACCCTAGCCCCAGAATCACCCTAGCCCCAGAATCACCCTATCCCCAGAATCACCCTAGCCCCAGAATCACCCTAGCCCCAGAATCACCCTAGCCCCAGAATCAACCTAGCCCCAGAATCACCCTAGCCCCAGAATCACCCTATCCCCAGAATCACCCTAGCCCCAGAATCACCCTAGCCCCAGAATCACCCTAGCCCCAGAATCACCCTAGCCCCAGAATCACCCTAGCCCCAGAATCACCCTAGCCCCAGAATCACCCTAGCCCCAGAATCACCCTATCCCCAGAATCACCCTAGCCCCAGAATCACCCTAGCCCCAGAATCACCCTAGCCCCAGAATCACCCTAGCCCCAGAATCACCCTAGCCCCAGAATCATCCTAGCCCCAGAATCACCCTAGCCCCAGAATCACCCTAGCCCCAGAATCACCCTATCCCCAGAATCACCCTAGCCCCAGAATCACCCTAGCCCCAGAATCACCCTAGCCCCAGAATCACCCTAGCCCCAGAATCACCCTATCCCCAGAATCACCCTAGCCCCAGAATCACCCTAGCCCCAGAATCACCCTAGCCCCAGAATCACCCTATCCCCAGAATCCTGTGCACCATCAACTCACCCCATCCACTTCCCCTATGGCTGCTCGCGCCTGGGCTCTCCTGCGCCACGCGTCCACCATCTTGGGCTCCAGCTCGCATGCCTGGCATGAGGAGAAGAAAGGGTGGAGAAGGGAGAGCGATGATGATGGCAATGGGATGCACTGAAGTGATGGCTAGGTTTAGTTAGAATGAGGTAGGCTTGCGTGAGAGGAAGTTTGATTTGAGTCTTGGAATGAAATGACACGAGCAGAAAGGGGATAGGAAGGGTATAGGGTTTAGGGAGACCATGAAAGAAAGGAAGCCAGAGAGGAAACAGCAAATTTCTGTGGGAAGGACACCCACCAGAGAGTAACCCTTCGTGACATCTTTAATTTTGTTTTAAAACGATTCTTGAGCACTCTATCTGAACCACCACCAACAAGCAATCCTCCATGCCATCGGTAATCTTACCTGAGAGAGCATACGCAGTACCTCGACTACTAGCCACAATACGTTAGTTGAACCACCATAACAACCCACCAGAGTAATCCTCAGTTATGCCTTTGTTCTTGCCTGAGGGCACATAGGCGGTGGTCCCTCAATCTATAGACAATACTTTTGAAACACCTCAAGCACCCACCAGGGAATAATCCTCGATGGCTTCCTTGATCTTGCCCGAGAGCGCGTAGGCGGTGCCTCGACCAATGAGGGCCGGCGCACTGTTGCCCAGCTCGTCTAAAAGCTGCAGCGCGAAGGGGAAGGGCGGGTATGGGGGAAGGGGAAGGGTGGGGGGAAACAAAGGGGAGGGGGTGGGGGAGCGCGCAAGTGGTGCCTCGACCAATGGGAGCCGGCGCACTGTTGCCCAGCTCGTCTATGAGCCGACGGGCGGAGGGGAGTGGGGCGTAGATGGGGGTAGGGGTAGGTTGGGGGGGGAGGGGGGGGGGTGGGGGGAGACGAAGAGGAACGTACGGGGTGTCCAGGGGTGAGGGAGAGGTGAAGCGGGGAATGAGGGAGGGGCGGGGGGAGGGGGAAGGGGAGGGAGGTGGGACGAGGATGGAATGGGGACTGGTTCTGCAGGTTGGGTACGCAGGTGGCCATTCGCAAACAAGGAATGTTGATGTCATAGCAGAATGGTAATGTCATAGCAGAATGGTAATGTCATAGCAGAATGGTAATGTCATAGCAGAATGGTAATGTCATAGCAGAATAATAATGTCATAGCAGAATGGTAATGTCATAGCAGAATGGTAATGTCATAGCAGAATGGTAATGTCATAGCAGAATGGTGATGTCATAGCAGAATGGTAATGTCATAGCAGAATGGTAGAGAAGACGTGCATTACATCATACTACAGAGTGCAAAGGTTTCCAACAGAGCAAAAAGCAAGTCAAATTTTCATACCAGCGTGAAAGCATTGATGGCCTCGTCGAACTTCTGCTGATTAACCTGCTGCACGCCCAAGTTGATTATCACTCCGTTCGTACCAGCGAGAAAGTGATTCCATTTTTCTCTCCCTCATACCAGAGTGAAGGTGTTGATGGCCTCGTCGAACTTCTGCTGATTGACCTGCTGCACGCCCAGATTGATCATCACTTCGTTGAACTGCCGCGTCATCACGTTCCCGCCGCCCCCAGGCGGCATCATCGTCCCCCTGTTGCCCTTCTTCTTCGGCTGCTGGTCCAGCGCCGTTGGCGGAGCCACGAGCGGGACGAAGAAGGGCAGCGGGGGGAGCAGCGCGCGGCGCAGGCAAAGGGAGAGGCGGGACTCGTCCGCCAGCGGGAGCGGGGGAACTGGGTCGCGCAGCATTACGGACACGGGCTGGGACATGGGCGCGCCCATGGGGAACAGGCGCGCGCCTGCGGAAAGGGAGAGCGGAAGGGAGTTTCAGTAGAGAAATTCGGAAAGGCGCGAGGATATTCCTAAGCTTTTGACTAGAACAATGTCATTGAATGACTTGTTTGTCCAATTTATGCGTTAAATTGCATTGAAGAAAATAGACGAGACAAGCTAATGTGGGGATCAGTGCAGCGGGAAGCATACCGCGCTTCAGAAACAACTCCCCGCACAGCGCGTCACGAAGGAACGCCTGACCGGCCGGATTGCCGTCAGGGTCGCTCGCGAACGAGCGGCGAAATCTGTTCTTGATTCGCGGGAAGTTGTAACAGAAGTCGTCGTTACTGCGAGCGGCAAACAATGGACATTCGTCATTATTGGAGTCAACCGGAACGATTTGCTGATCATTCTAAAGCGGAGCAAGACACCGGTATGAATCCGGATAGCACAAAAATAGAGATAACGTAGCGCAATGCTGCAAAACCTTACAATGCAACCACATTAATGTTGCAAAGAATCATGACATGTGACGACAGACCAAAGGCCAGGGCAATGGGACGACGAGAAAGGCAGCAGATAGCTGAAGCAATGCGAGGGTGGCTGCTAAGACTAGAATAATCACAGCGGTTGCGACGGCCAAAAAGACGGGACATTGTTGAAAAATGGCCAGCTGGACACCGGCCAGTCGCGCACGCACCAGAAAATGCGGGTCACGCTGTAATGCTCCTGCACAGCGCTCGCGACCACGGCGACGACGCGCGACAACTCCGAGGAGTCGCATCCTCTGCGGGTCGGCGTGACTCCAGCGCGTGTGCTTATAGCGGGCATGAGGAGCGTCGTGGGGGAGAACGGGAGCACGGAGCAGAGAGTGAAATTGAAAGCGAGGCATACGAAGGTCTCGGTTACTCCCATTTTGACGAAAAACCGAGATCCTTCACAGAGATTATTAAGAATGTCGGTAGAAGGCGGTCAGTCTGACATTGCTACAGCCCGCCAAACCAGGTGCAGGGTACTATTTTGGTCTTGGTGATGGGAACAATCGTTAGAGCTGCCTGTGAAGGCTTGCTCCTCCAGAATTTGCTTATCTGCTGATTTTCGTTGGAGATGAGTGAACTCCCACCAGTCCCCTCTCCACTCTCTTGACTTGGCTAGAGTGACAGGTCGGGAGGATGGTCCAGTTCCTAGGATCTTGACGGGCTACCTGTTGCACGGGTAATGATCCCGTGAGTGTACACCAGGCATATACTATGTTGCATTACAGCCCATACCTCAGATTTGAGTGTGTTTCAACTGCTAAACTCTCCTTCTATTTTTTATGGAGGTGGTCTGCCTGCTAGCCATTAGGGAAAGAAACTAATGAATAGACTAGCATTGAGTTACTTGTCACATCTGAACAAATCTGAACACATCTGAACTTAAGCCAATCTATTGATTTTTTTGCAGTAAAATGAGACATGGATGTGATGCATCATGTTTAGAAGTTAATAAGACAATAAAATTGTCACGTGTTTGTTTCTTTGTTCTGAATTGCAATTGACATTTGAGGAAATCCTTGTCTTACAACGCATGTGTTTGATATCATCTGCCTTTCCTTATTTCGAAGTTGATCTGTATATGTACTGATTGATGAAGTATAATTGCTGACTACGCATGGAACTGTTGCTCGCTGATCGTGGCTGCCACGATCGCTATTCGGCCCCAGAATCTGGGCGCGCCAAGGTGCGCTGGATCTGCCACATAGTGCCAGGTCATTGGCCTTGTCACGAAGCCACGGTGTCATGAGCGGGAGGAAAAGGAGTTACGGAAAGGTTTGCAGCATATTCGCATTCAATACGTCACGGTTCTGTTCGGTTCGCTCTGTCGTAAAACGAAAATCTTTCGAGAACCATTCGAAACCATGATGAAACTCACTGAATCTCTCTATTCTGGTTGACAACAATCTCTGTACGGTGGGTTGGTATTGGGCAAAGCAAGCGGAAGCATGTGCCTGCGTGATAAACAGATTCATCATCTCATTTTGCAACAATTCTAGCTTCTGAATCTTTTCACACATCTCTGTCCAGTTCTTGTCAGCAGACTTCACACCAGCAGAGCCTCTGGACGACTGCCTTCCAAGCTTTCCCTCCGAGTCTCCTTCATTTCTAGTCATAACCATGGGTCGTAAGTTCATCGTCGGAGGCAACTGGAAGTGCGTAAGTATCCGTCCATTGCTACTGTTAACATGTAGACCCATTAGATCCGGATACTAAGATTACCGTATTCCTCGTTACATCTCACAGAACGGCACCCAGGAGTCTATCAAGAAGCTTGTCGGGGTGCTCAACGCCGCCACTGTTCCCAGCGGCGATGTCGTCGGTACGTGCTGTCGTGCTTTGAAGAAGAGTGAACAAAATGAAATACTGAGTTTCTAAATCTTCCTTCAAACTGCGCGCGCTTCGAATATTCCGGAACCGTTTTCACCATTGATGTTCTTTCCATACTTCGCTAACATTCTCTCCTTCACTGCGGTTCAATACGTTGCTCCGTCTCTTCCAGAGGTCGTCATCGCTCCTCCCGCCGTCTACATTCCTCTCGTGAAGGCCGAGCTGCGCAAGGATTTCGCCGTCGCTGCGCAGAACGCCTGGGTCAGCAAGGGCGGTGCTTTCACCGGTGAAGTGAGGTATGTCGCCGCCCTGTTACCACCCTGCTTTGGTTGGAAACACATTCGCATCCTGCTTCTGAAATGGGGTCTGGAATTCTATTTAGCTTCTAACATTTAGCTTTATTTTGTTTCTCTTATGCCATATCAGTGCTGAAATGCTTCTGGATCTGGACATTCCCTGGGTCATCCTTGGCCACTCCGAGCGGAGAACCCTCATCAAGGAATCCAACGAGGTCAGCCTCCCTGCTTCTCAACACATTTCTTTCCTTTCTGCGACCTGCCTTTTGGGGATATCGTTCTTGGTGCTCGTTGATGGTGCTTATCTTACTTTTTTTTTTCTTGATGCCTTGTAGTTCGTCGCGGACAAGGTCGCGTACGCTCTGAGCAAGGGTTTGAAGGTCATTGCATGCATCGGCGAGTCCTTGGAGCAGAGAGAGAGCGGCGAGACTGTCGCCGTCGTCTCTGCTCAAGTCAAGGCCATTGCAGGTTCGTGTGCTGCGTGCTCACTCTATGTGCAGTCTCGCGTCCGTTGTTATTCTTCCACTTCGTGTCCCATGTACGATTATAGTTTCCGCTGAGTTAAGGGCTGGCTTCGGTCGCTGTTTTTAAATCGTTTTCTTTCTTGTATGCAGACAAGATCACCAAGTGGGACGATGTCGTTCTCGCGTATGAGCCCATCTGGGCCATTGGTACTGGCAAGGTCGCCACGCCTGCTCAAGCCCAGGAGGTGAGCGGTGCTTTCTATTCTAGGCTAGCGTCGAGTAAGGTTGAAAGCTGACACATCTATTCTAGAATGTGAATCGTTGTGAGAAACGAAAGAACATAACTGTATGGTGCTTATGCCCTGCGTGGCACTGTGATGGCAGACGCATGCTGACATCCGCAAGTACATTGCTGAGAACGTCAGCCCTGATGTGGCAGCTGCTATCCGGATTCAGTATGGAGGTGAGAGGGTGAAATTGGAGCACGCATGGGGGAATGGCTGGTATAAGGGATCCGTGTGGAATGCTGGTATGGTTTAACTATCAAATTCCTGTTTTCCTTTTTGCCCCTATGCGTGTGGTTCACTTGGTACGACCTTTGCATCGGCTAACAGATAAGGTAATTGTAATCTTTAAACGCTACCATTAGGTAATTGTAATCTTTAAACGCTACCATTTCTCCTGTTGTGCGCCTAACCTCCAGGCTCTGTGAACGCTGCTAACTGCAAAGAGCTCGCCGCTCTTCCTGATGTCGATGGCTTCCTTGTTGGTGGAGCTGCTCTCAAGGTCTGTATCTTGGGTTTGTTTTGCCTCAGCTTTATCCACTGCAGCTGATCTTATGTTTCTAGATAAAGCATAGCTAACTCTGCCGTTTTTGTTTCCTTTTGCAGCCTGAGTTTGTTGACATTATCAACTCTGCTACCTCTTCTTCGTAGAGGCATGTATGTATGTATTTGAACGCAGCAATATAGCAATGTCACAATGTATGGTATCCTACCAGCTGATGAGCTTCATGCCGTGAAATGGAACACGACTCAACCACTTCCCATCACAAACACCTAGTAGATGCAATGGAGTGCAAATATCCATTTGCTAGTTGCAACACAGTGCAGTACGATACCGTACAATACCCAACATGAACAAGTTACTAGTGAGTTCTGCATGGTCTGGAGTGTTGGGCTGGGATAGCCCCTTAGGATCTTTTCAGGGGAGAACTCTGGATAGGACAATTGTAATAGCGGAAGCTTTCGGTGAAGGAATTGTGAACCACCTTGCGCTAGTATGTGAGGGCAAAGTAGATTAATTATAACAAGAGAGTACAAGAATATATAATAATGTAGGAAATATCAAGGGATACAGTTATAACTGCTTTTGCTGTTGCTGTTGCGGTTCGATACAGTACGACTCGGGCAACTGCTCTGTAACGAGTCAGTTGTATGTCCTTAACTGTCGCGCTGTACTTGTCGGGTCAAGGGTCGCTGACCTTTGACTTTCGCGTAACCTCCAGCAACCTCTTCAACCCCCGAGGGTTGACTCGCGGGTGCTTCGGTGTAGTTTGCCTCGCTTCTGATGCGGTGTTTTCGACACGACTGAAGCGCTTAAGTTTTATTGTTTCCAACACTCCCCTTCGCTTCTGGAGTGTCGCTGCTGGTGACGTGGCTTTGTCCAGTCAGCAGCATGCAATACTCGAACTTTTGCTTTCCGAGTTTCTTGGTCAAGTAGTCAGCTGCCATCTCGGATGTGGGGCAGTATGACAGCTCGAGTCTCCCCTTCTCGATCTCGTCCTTCACGAAGAAGTAACGTAGGGCAATATGTTTCGTCCTGTTCGCGAAGCCGTTCTTGTTGGCGATGCGAATTGCTGACTGGTTGTCGCAGAACACGTTAAAGTTGGGTAACTCAGCTAACTTCGCTTCTTCCAGCAGCTCGCGAAGATAGAGTCCTTCTTTGGTGGCTGAGCAGAGTGCGATATATTCTGCTTCAGCTGAAGATAGCGCGATTAACTCCTGCTTGCTTGACTGCCAGGAGATAGGACCGATAGGCTCGAGGCGGTAGACGTAGCCGGTACGTGAGCGCCTGTTGTCGGTGTCGCCGGCATGATCGGCATCGACGTAGCCGATTAACTTGGTCGGTGTAGCTGCGTTCTTATGATAAGTTAGGCCGATCGTCGCGGTGCTGATGAAGTAGTGAAGAGCGCGGTCAAGTTCCGCCAGGTGTTCTGCTTCAGGCTTCTTGAGATAAGTGGCGAGCTGGCTTGCGGAGTAGGATAGGTCGGGTCGGCAGGTGACGGCTGCGAAGAGAAGGCAACCTAGCTTCCTCTGATAGTCGCGTATGCCGGCGGGCTTAAGTACAGCAGATTCCTTGTCGGTTCCTGTCGTGTAGCGGTATGGTGTTGAGATCGCGGCTGGCGTAATACTGAATCGTTTGGCGATGGTGTCGGCGTACTTCTCGGCGCTGAGGTAGATCGCGTTGTTATCTTCTCGAATGTTAAGTCCGAGGTACTGTGTGACGGTAGATAAGACAGTGAGGGTGAGGTCCTTCTGCAGCTCCCCTTCGAACCAGGTGGTGATGCCGTCGGTAGAACCGATGTAGAGGAGATCGTCCACATAGACGATTAGAAGAATGTAGTCAGTGCTCTTCGTGAGGCGGTACATGCCCTGATCGTGCGGGAGTTGTTTGAAGCCGATGCGGATGAGGCGAGCATGCAGGTACTGTTGCCACAGTCGCGGCGCCTGTTTGATCCCGTAGAGCGATTTTAGTAGCTGGCAGACGTGCGTGGAATTTGTATTAGA